ATCGACCGATTAAGAAGTTATACCAAAAATGATATCAAATAATTGTTTTATTCAAATCCTTTTATTTCCAATGAAGACTAATTCGGAGTCTGTTTTGTTATGAATATTTTCTATACTGGGAGAATTGGAATTTGAACACAAGTTTTCTCAAATAGGACACCAAATTTTATTCATCCCTGAAAGATCTTTTGAAATATAAATATTGTCAATGAAAACAAAACTTCTCAAACATTTTTGAAACTCTCATAAGGAAAGGATCAGCAGAAGAGTTGACATCAAAGAGTATTTATAGAGTATAAAGAAAATATGTCCTCGTATTTTTGGTTCTTTTGAATAACAATGGATGTATCAGTTTTTGTGATTCAACACGTTGGACATACCCACTGGACTTCAGGCATGTTGAGTTTAATCAAATCCTGTTTGTTGATTTCCACACATTTCCAGCATATCTACAGCAAGTCCCTGTACATTGTTGCAGGTGATTTGCTATTGAAGCTGGAAATACACAATTCACAATAATGCATTTTCAACGAACAAATTGTATGGCGTTTTTACGATGTGAGAGCCGGAATCCCAACAAACGATAGCAAAATATGTCCACTGTTGGCAAAACAAGATGTCCAATATTTAGAAAGATTACACTACACCATCGACCAAATGGCTGCAATTTTTTTTGTAAAACCACTTCCACTTTGATGGATGTTTGTGGCAGGGATGTGACAAAGTTGGGATTAGACTGAAAAGGTAAAATTTTTCCTAAATAGAAACGGCTTAATACCACTTTTTTCAAAAAAATATGCGGAGTGACCATACGATGCGTACGATGTGAATGAGTCGGTGAAAAGATGATGTATTTACCAAGTCATATGACCTTATGATTGCAGCTTTCAGATAGATCGATTTTTAATCAACTATTGGTCACTAATAGGTCTAGATCCAGGTTGCAAACTGAAGAAATATAGGTTTTGGTGTTCTTTGATATCGCATGGGTGGAAGAAGCGACAGTGCAAAACCAAGTTTAGAGTTTTAGAACCTGTGGTATTTAATCCTCCTACAATGTCTTCATCAAAAATCCAAATAACAGTGTCAATGTTATTTTTAAAACTATCATGAACATGTGTGATTGATAACTTATTCATTTATGGTAATTCATGATCACTTAAATGAAATAAATAAAACACTTTTGTCTAATAAGCTAGAATCAGATATCCTATTATTTTAAATGTAGAAAATAAATACTAAATTAGTGATAGTGAAGTTCGTTAAAATTAAAGATTTTGGTGGTATTCTAGTCTATTCAAAGGAACCTGTTCTGTAATTCATAATCAACGATTCGAATTACTTTTTTCTTAGTTTGTATATCGTCGTTGTGTGAATATTTTGAATGAACAATAAAATTCAAAATCTTCAATTAGAGAGGAAATCAGATCAAGGTGCAGAAGTTTATGAGAATCATTTACCCTTCAACGAAAAAATTTGNATCAGATCAAGGTGCAGAAGTTTATTAGAATCATCTACCCTTCAACCAGAAAATTTGGGGGCTTATAATTTAAGATCATCTCTTGAATGATTACAAAATGTTCCTCCTGCCGAACATGATTACTCAGAACTACCTTATCTAACTTCTAAATTCTAATATGGCAGATTAGTGCACTGGATTCAAATCCCATTTATAAAGTTCAAACTTTTTTTAGAAATGTTGACTTGAAAAACTATAATACTACAAGATAGAGCTTCCCCCTTGATAGAACAATTAACTTATTTTCATGATTATAATGATCATACATGAATATTTTAATTATTATTACTGCATTAGTAGGCCAAATAATTATAAGATTATTTTTAAATACATTTTCACATCGATACTTATTAGAAGGGCAAACTATTGAAATAATTTGAACTGTCTCATTTACAATTAAATCAATTTTTATTGCTATTCCTTCCTTACGTTTAATTTACATTTTAGATGAAAAAATAAAAATAAGAAAAAATGACACGTTTCGATTATTGGTATCTACAATCGTCCTCAAATGAAAACTGATGAGTATTTCATTTTCATTTTTTATATTACTTTTTCACTTGTTTCATTTCAGACCACAATAATTTGTTTTCTTTAGAAATAAGGTCGGTAGCCGGGCGGTTCGACGTGGGTGCTTTGTTCACTCTCTCAATCGACCGATAGTTCAAGCCGCAGCGCAGGCTGAACGATCGATTTTCACTTGCTATCGTCCAACCCGTGTTAAGAATCATACGTTAGCTCGCACAAGTTTTGACTTTTGAGGGTTGTCGTTCATAGGAGTGCGACAGCTGGTCAACGGAAAACATATTTTAAACATACGTTATTTAAGTGTTCTAATATTTTTTCAATTTCTTTCTAATTGTTCATTTAATTTCAGTTCTCTTCCCATTTTTGATAAGTATTTCTCTGTAACTATCTCAACTGAATATTTTGGACCACTTCTTTTATTGATCCAAATAACTTAACTATTGACATGACAATTGAGAATTTCGAGTAGATAAAATTTTGTACTGAATTTGGAATTTGGATTGCTTTTTAAACGTTATTCTTCATCTCTGTTCATAACTTTTTATCAAAATTTTCATAAAACTTGCTCATTTTCGTCCTAACATATGTCGGGAAAGACATAACATGAATGAGAGTGGTGAAATCTAAATTTAAATTGGTATCTTACGATTTGATTCTTTGGCAACATCGCGGATGCAAAATAGTTGTTATGTACAAATAATATACATTTGCGGATGCAAAAAAGTGCTAGACATGTGAGCAAAATATACAGGAAGGAGTCAATACGGATNACGGTCTTGAGACAGTTTGGTTCTCGAGAGAAACAGTATATATATATTTTCGCCCCCCCCCCCGAGAAAAGCTTCTGCATCCGTCCATGCGGTTAAGTTTATGATCATTTTGTTAAGATTCTTGACAAGAAGTGCATGTTTTAACGAAACTTACTATATCATTGTCCACGTTCGGTCAGTACATATGTAAACGTGCACTGGACTGCATGGCAGTTATACCAAGGTGTCCATCATGAAGCATCATCAATACATATCGAAATGCTTCTGGAATACATATTCTTCCTTTCCAAAGAAACATATTTTCTTCAAACGGAAGTTCCTCACGTTTCTCGAAGTACGAAAGAATTTCGTTAGGTATATGTCTTTTATCAGGCCAACAGGATTGTACGCATCTTATAACTATACTGAGAATTGCATCACTTGATGTTTTTGACGGTAAAACTTTCTTCGTGATAGGAAGGTGTAGTCTAAGATGCAGAAGTTGACTTCTTTTAGGTAATCCAGCTTCTTCCAAAAGTAATGATTTTGTATCAGGAAGTACTAGACGTGAAAAACGTCTGTAGGTGCATTTTCTTTACCTTTGTCAAAATCATAGCTAGTCAGTGTCATGGCCTATCTATATTACTAGCAATCTTTGATGTTTCACGGTTTCTACTAAATATTCATTCAGAGGCTTGTGATCTGTTAATCGTGTAAAATGTCTTCCATATAGATAATGGTGGAATTTTGTAACTGCAAACACGATTCCTAAAGCTTCCTCATCTATAGTAATCTGTAGTAGAATATCGGGTTTCTGCATCACTCAAAGTGTGTGAAGCATAAGCGATTGGTTTGAGTTGTTCATTAGGGAATTCATGGAATAAGACTTATCCAACACCCTTCGAACTCGCATCACTTGTGACTACTACTGGCAATTCAAGATTGAAATGTACCAGAGTATCTGATGGACTAAGGATATTCAATTCATGGAATGATTTTTCATCATCAACTGTTCGCTTGAATTGTTTTTCAGGTGTCTGTATAATGGAAGGTAAAGAACATGTAGATTTGGTATAAAACATCCATAATAAGTTATTGATCCAAAGAAAGATCTGAGTTCACCTATATTTGTACGACTTAGCATATCACTTATAACTGAAGAAATAAATGTTCTAAATTGAAAATTTTGAGAGAAGTCCTTGGTCTACCAAAATTAATTTTCATTGCAGAGTGACCTTCAAGAATATCATGCTCATGCTAAAGAATAGAACAAGATATGCTTTTTGGTATCAATGAGCTCTGTAGCTTCAACTCCATTGATAATGATTAGCACCGTAACTTTACCAATGCAGTCCGATGAAGTTTCCTAAATCAGCAAACTTTAGCGAAATGTCCTGTCTTCGAACATTTCAGCATTTAAGACAATAATGAAATAACTGTATGATTGAAGCCGAAGTTTTGAAGATGACAATGTCACAGCTGAATATTACTGGAGTTTTTTCCAGTAATATTCATTACTACACCAAAGGTTTCGAACAGTGCATCACAAATGTCACAGCTTTTTAGTTGCATTCTTTTGACAATTTTCAGTGTAGTACTATTTTGTTGAATGAATCGTTATAAACAGATTGAATCAGAAATTAACTTCATTTCAAAAAATACAAGATATAGGTACAAACACGACTGATAAAGACAACTGTGATTTCTAGAACAAATATTGATACAATATCCACAGAAAACAGGGTTGTTGCCGATTAAAATGTTGGAGAAAAATCGCAATACGCTCAAGAGTGTCACAGAAGAAACTTTTGAGATTGACATACGCAGTTAAAAGCAAAACTTCAGATTACAATAGATCCGGGTCAATAATATGAAAACTCAAATTCATTTTGAACTTATCGTAGCAGCCGTGATAGATGGAATATTTTTGTTGTTCAAACTGTACAATAAAATTATTATTGGTCAAAATTATCCATTAATTATTTTTTTAAATCAAAGTCAACTTCTATCAGAGTACCGACACATACCATTAAAAACATTACTTTCAGTAATATTTGTAAAAAATATATTTTATAAATAACAATGACATTCATTTCAACGAATGCCCTTTTCTATTCACTTCATTCGTAAATTGACCTTAACCTTCATTGGTTATTTTATCCAAGAAAATCGATACACCCGGTCACTTACACCCTATGCAATTTTCCATCACGTTGGTATGGAGGTGCTGATGACAAAAAAACTGATAATTATAATTATCAACAAGCCAAAATTTGAAATTTGTAAACTAAAAATAAAGTCAAGTTGAACTATCCGCAATAGTTACAATAAAAATAGCACACTGCACTTGCCAACTGCTAGGAAGGTTATCGGACATATCGGTAAAACTTTTTTTGGAAAAATATGAAATCTATAAAGTTGTCAAACGGAAGTGAAATGCCTTTAGTGGGACTCGGGACGTGGAGAGCTCAACCGAAAGAAATCGAAAATGCAGTTCAAATAGCTTTAGAAAATGGATACAGGCATATCGGTAAGTACTTATTTTAGAATTTTCCTTTATCCATTCCTTCGTAATAAAAAATATAGTCAATACCTATAATTATCAAATAATTTTGAAATTTTTATCCCATTCTGAAATCCTCAGAAACATTGTAATGTGTTCAAAACTGATCAAGAATAATTGAATTCAAAAAAATACTTCCAAATTTCAAGAATTCGACTGAATTTATTAATCAATAACGAGTTGATAATGAAAAACTAGAACATGTCTGCTTGTTATTATTTCTTTCAAAGTCTAGTCTTTAGACAGGAATAGCTTCTTTCTTAGTAAGTATATTTTCTCGTTTTCTACTACTTCTAAAAAAAATTATTCTATAAATTAGACGGAAAAAAAGGGAAAAAATATCGAATACAAATGTTAACAAATTTCACATAACTTTTTAGCCATTGAAAAATCCATAGAAATAAAATAGCGCATCACCTCTGTTTTCACTGACGTGACGTGACATTTGGTTATTTGGCGAATAAGTCTTTGTTATTATTTATAGAAAATCAACGAAAAGTTTAGTATATTTCAGCAGGAAAACCTGAATGAATAAATTTTTGAAGGCTCACCTGCGGTTATAAACTGGAAAATTGATATTAAGTTGATATTCGTCATGCAATGGCTTTGTGGATTGAACTTTCAATGGAGGTGAATATTATTGTTTATGGAGCCCATAAAAACTGGTCAATACCATCAAAAATAATATTGAAATATTAGTGAAAACACTCTCAGTTCACCAAGAAGCAGCTGACGCTCATAATCCTTGTGAGTGATGCACCAAACCCAACTAATACATATAGAAAAGGTTTTAATATACTAGGGGTCGGCAAGTAGTTTTAGGTGGGGTCCGTATACTGTGAAAAAAATGTAATGAGGTCAAGAAAAAAAAAACTGATAACAATGACGTGCTACCCATGTATTATTTTGGTTGCAAATCAAATTTTGAATTATAGAATAGAAGAAACTCAAATTAATGTGAGAAACTACACCGACGGTCTTGAGACAGTTTGGTTCTCGAGAGAAACAGCAAATTCGAAGTGGACGTCCGTTAATCTCGAACGATATTTATTTTTCAAAAAATTCATTTTTGAGAAAGATGTTTCACATAGGTACGTATGTCGAGCTAAACATAGTGGCCAAATTTATTGCTACTTTCTTGCAATTTTCATGTTTTTTCGGAACATGTTTGGTCCAAAATTCTCATTAGGATACCGTTTTATACATTTGCAACGACATATCTTCTTGAAAATCGATTATATTCAGTTAAGGTGATAGCTTTGACAGATTGAACAACTTTACACCCACATCTGTCCATTCTGCCGCTACGTCGTTCCTAAGATTGGCCAGAAATTTCCCAATAACTGCACAATGTCTTCTTCGGAGTTCTTTTTATATTCAAGGTCTGTCGTAAAATTAATAAGTTTTTGTTTTGCAATATCGTTTTCAAAGATATCCAGCATGCGACGAAAAGCAGACATTCTTTGTATCAGATCACATATTCATTTAAGATTTCCTTGTAACTCTGTGTTGAACGCATTCAAATATTTCAAAATATCTTTTAGGAAAGCCACAACCAGCATATTGCGCTTGTTTGTTATGAACTCAAAGTGTTTTCTAGCTTTCTGCGTATCTAAATTTCGCAAGATGAAGGTTACTTGTTCTTTAATTAGCCAGGCTAGATGGGAAACTAGGTACTTGTAAAACAGGTTAGCTAGGAAACTCAAAATAAAATAAGTACTAATAAATTCTATGTGGCTTAATTTTTTTTATTTAATTAGGGTATTGTATGCCTTATCTTTCTAATTTATACTTGGTATACTTGGCGGTCCGAGGTTCGAGGTTCGACCTTTCGCGGTCCGCCTGTTGCAGACCGTTGGTCTATACATATTATATATACTGAAGGTCATCTATTTACTAATGTTCATTTTGGAGAATGAAACCTTCAATAATATTTTCCATCAGGAGCATCATCATCTTGCAGACTCCACCATAATATTTAGTGCACCTTCAGCATAATTTAACTTTTTTACTCAGAATATGTAAGTAGGCATCATGTTCATGAATAACTTGTTCATATTTATGATGCATTGTTTGGAACCTTTGGTGTAGTAATGAATATTACTGGAGTTTTTTGTTCATACTTATCCAATCATGAAATTTTTTCTCTGATATCATATTTATAATTAACAACTGAATCTACGACATTGCAACTTCAAATTAAATAAACACAATAATATTATAGCTATTTATGATATGAGTGTTAAAATAAAACTTACTTTCAACGTTCAATTGATATATTTTTGTTTATCGAATTTATTGACCATCATTTCACGAGGCCAGGTAGCCTGACTTTTTGATAATTTTTCTCTCTTGCTGACAATTGAAACCGTTTTTGTGTTTATGAATTTCTATTGCCCCCCTATTCTACCAAGCACCTGAGTCTCTTCAAATGCAATCCCGAAAAATCAGCAGTGGCGGAAAATACAATCAGAGAAGGTACCCGAAGTATCGAGATCAAAGTGTTTGTTAGAACTCAGACCTACTAACCAAGGAATGCCATAGTAATTTGAACACTCAAAAACAATTTCAATCGACAAGAAGAGAGAAAGAACATCCTTGAAATTTGGCTACCTGCACTAAATTACATGAGGCATTTAATTCGACCAATTCAAACGACGCCACGCCCACCACCAATGGGCCTGTTAGCGAAACGGTGGAATAGGATTTACAAAATTTCATTCGTCCATATTCATTTTTCTAGGCGAAACTCACAACACAGTAGAATAATACAATCAGTAGGATATCTTAACACGTGATCCGCCAGAGTTGCCGGGGACCTTCAAACGCTCTTAGGATGAGATTATCATCCAACGCGTTAAGTACTGTAGTATCGAAGGATTTGACGGTACCACGAACATCGGATTAGTTATAATAAACGGTCGGAAATTGATATTGTGTTTAGTTTATTCGCTGTTGTTATTATGGTTTTTAGTTTTTGTAGTTGGCTATAAGTAATTTACCACAAAATATTCTATAATAACCTTAAATTTCGTTTTTATATGAGCGCACGCCTATGGTAAAAGAACGAAATTGGCTCCACACTTCGTTTCGAGGTCACCAAGAACTTTGTGAATTCATGAATGAAAGTAGTGGGAGTAAGTCCATTAATGGTTGATTTTTACTATGCTCTCAATAGCTTCAATATATTTAAACCAATATCTTGAAAACAGATTTTAAAACGATTTCCCACAAACGTAAAAAAATGTCAAGTGATCGGTTGTTCAACTAGTTTAGTATTTGGGAAAAAACTGCTTGAGTTCCACTTTTCTATCTTCTCATGAAAACCTAGTTTGTTTAGTTTAGTATATTGTTTAACATGACACCAATCGTTTCGAAAAAGATAGTAATAGCTGCTGCTAATAGTCGCGTTATTTTGGAATGAGACCAATAAGATACCATTTATGAAAAATATGAATGTATTCAACTAACTATGCATCAGAAAACGCATTTTTTAGAATTGCCTAGGAATGGACGACGACGACGATATATTACGGCCAACAATGGGGAATGTTCCTCCTGACGAAAATCAAGTAGTTTTCATAAAAGAGCTCTAAAACAACGCATTTTAAACTTATCATTTCAACCTTTTTCCTTAAAAAAATATTTAAATACCTAAAAAAGAGGAATGAAATAATGCATTCAACATTTAAAGGGATTCGTTTCTATTTCACCACTTGGCAACATCGGTTATTTTGAGAAAGATGTTTCACATAGGTACGTATGTCGAGCTAAACATAGTGGCCAAATTTATTGCTACTTTCTTGCAATTTTCATGTTTTTTCGGATGACATTTATAAGAAAAATATCAGTTTTGCGTGTCTCTATTTCGAAAGAATTTTCCGTATATTAATTATTATAACAAGAGTTATTCACATAATAACTATGGCACCAACATTAAAATTGCTCTTAACGGATATAATAATGACGGAACTGAAGTTTATGAGAGGAATCGTAAATATACAAGGTGTAACAAAAAGGTAGCTCATAAATTGAACCACATTTTCTGCGGTCAAAAATAACTCGATTGGATATAACTTACTTTAATGCAAATGTGCCCCACAAAAAAAGTTACAATCTTGAGCCGTTCAAAATGAAAATCGAGTGTTTCCAATATTTCAAGAACTGTTTATTTTGTAATTAAAATGGATCTATGACTTTCTTATCATCCATATAAAACCACCAAATCTGTTGAGCACATAAAAATTTTAGTGGGTATTGAGCTTCATATCACATTTTCGAAAAGCCAGTTTTTATCGAGATTTAGACTTTTTTTTGAATCCTGGTTGGCTCATTTATAATCTGAGTGAGTCCGCTGTTTAATGCAAAAGCCTCAACTTCGTGACCTTGTTCGTCATTGATATTTGAAATTTTGAGCCATTCGATATTGTGGACATTGTAGTCACCGAATATGGAAGTTTCGGCACTGGAATGATTGATCTGCAGAAAGTCAATGGTGTTTGCAAGTAAAGAGAATAGTGATCGCTTCGGATAAAAAGAGATATTCCAAAGTTACGTCTGAATCGGGAGTGGAGATCATAGCCGGGATATAGAAAATTGACGGGATTTATTGAAGCGCTGACTTTGGTTTCTGTGAGGCAGATGTTGGGGTGAGTTTATATTTTAGTTGACTCCTCTGAGGTTGCAGAAATCGATTTGTGTACGATAGACAAAATTGGACCCTCGGGCATAAAAGTAATCCACTGAAAACAATTTAACTTGATTAGCTAAACACCTAACAAGATATGGTGCAATAGTTCTGGTGTGGGAACAGTGTTTTCATGAGGAATAGGTTAGGTTAGGTTGTTTTCTTAACATTTCATAAATGTATCAGGAAATGTCTCTGAACTTATGTAAACTTGAGTTGTTATTGCTGAAATTATTTTTGCACCGAGTTGTTTTTGTAACAAGTTGTTTTGGCTCGAGTTGATTTGATTGCAGTAATGATGGTTTGAGTTGTTTAGATCGAGTTATTTTGACCTAGAACTACATTAGGACAGCTTTAGTGATGAAAGAATGTTTGATTAATAGTCATTACTTGAATTTGTCGCTACCAAAACAATATTCAGTGGAAAAAATCATAACGCAATGTTAAATATTGTTTGTGATACTGCGAGATAATTATGAAAATTTCAATATATTTTTCTATCAAATTAAGTTTCAATACTTCGCGTTCAATGATCTCAAATACTGCAGAAAGCTTTAAGCTCGACATTAGAACGTCTGAGACGTTCTAATGTCTTTTGATCAAGTAATTCCCACCCTATATGAGAGGTAATAAATCGTTACCGACAAATGCACAGAACAGATGTCTTGAAACAATGAAAAAAATTACCTTGATCCGATGAATTGTATGAATTTCAGATACTGCATTCAATTACAACACGGAAGAGTCAATAGGAAAAACTGTTACTGAATGGATTCAGTCAGGAAAAGGACGGAGAGAAGATCTTTTTATTACAACCAAGGTAAAATAAATAAATTTAGTTAAATAAACATATAAGGTAAAGAAAAAAGATAAATTAAACTTTCTATGTTTTGTACCACTTTTATTTGTAACTAACGTTACTGCAGTATCGCCTAACAAGATATATTAGGCGTATGTATGGACTTTATTGTATAAGTTTAATAATGTCCGTCTAGGACGAAACTGCAGTAACGTTAGTTTCAAATAAAAGTGGTAAAAAAAAGAAAGTTTAATTAATCTTTTCTTCATTACCATGTAGCCGTTACTATCACGTAGTAACGACTACATCCATCAATTTATATAAGGTAAACATGTAACGTAAACACTAGTTTTAATTTTGAAAAAGTAATGCTTTCTTACTTAGAACCAAGAGTGTACCCAGCCAATCAGTAGGGAAACAGGCAACTCACAATTTTTGGAAAATGGAGAAAGAAAGTGAAGCCAAAGATTTCATAACATTTCGTAACAACTCCTTAACAACTCTTTTCCTTTCGCTGCTAAATAATAGCTAGCCCAACATAATGATCTAGATATTAAATAGACCCCTTCTGTCTATGACTGGATATGACTTGTTACTCTACGGCAGAAGTGTGGAAAATAGCTGTAGTTAATAAAAAGGCTGTCTTCTTGAGCTTTCTGAGATGGTTGAATAAATCAGATCTCCAACAGCATGTATTTTTCCTAATGCACTGAAAAAGTTTTGTGATATTTCCATATACACTCCTTGCGAAGTGGTGTCATTAGAAGTTTTGGTATTGGAGTTGAAGAGTTATTAAAACTTTGAAACCAAGAATTAACTTTTAAAAAAATATTCTATGGGTAGTCTTCCTGTAACCTTCCTGTATAAATAGCAATATTTCAAAAAAATGTAATCATTTGCCTAGATGTAGTGTCCTAGTGTTATCATACAACTCATACAAATTGAAAAACTTCAGAATTGGTGAAACAGTAATTGAAATTTTTGAGTGTTAAACCTCCAATTTTTATTGATATGTAACAAATATTAAATGGATTGAAAAGTTCTTAGGCTAACAAACAGATTGGGCTACTAGTATTAAATCCATATGATTTTGAGTTAATCCTAACCTTCAAAATACACGTGTGCAAATTTTACAGCTGCCGGACTATTAGTTTGTGGGATAGAAAATTTTGAGTAGCTTTTTTGTAGTAGTTACGAAAAAACTAAAGTTTGTGAAGATCAAATCGTAACGTGTAGTTTATGAAATTGTTATTATTACAAACCTTTCTAACCGCCGCTCTATCTATTACTAGTATAAGCAACCCCAAGATTTATGAAAATGTTCAATTTTTGAAAAGTCAATTGTTGGGAAAACAATTGTCTTTCCACCTCTTTTGATAAATAAAGAATCGGAAACTTATCAAAAGATTTTGTATAAATATAGATCACTCATAAACTAAAGAGACTTGTGCAAGTTTCGTTATCTTTTCAAGCGCGATTCCAAGAATGTTGTATGATGAAAATTTCTATCTTTACAAAATATAAAATAATTTTCGTGTGTCTTTTCTTTCAGTTACCAAACTTTGGAAATAGGCCTAATGACGTGGAAAAGTTCATCAAATTGTCTTTGTCTAAGTTGAATTTGAGTTATTTAGATCTATACCTTATACACATGCCATTTAGTTTTCACTGTGATAAATCGGTGTATGCACCGCTGACTAATGAAGATGGGACATTCAGTTTAGACGTTGATAATGATATCATTAAAACATGGAAGGTAAGCAACTCAGTAATTGTTAAACATTCAATGCAGTAAAAAACAACGGAAATGTGGGCTATTCGATACCTCAGCTGAAAAATGTTTCTATGCAGAACTGCAACATTCTTCTCAACACGCGCCTGACCCAGTTGTATGATCATGATAAAAAATAATTGTTTTTTATCCATTTTATTACTTTCTTCAACTGAATCAATTGATAAGGTATATCTTTATCAATAGTAAGACCAGAAGAACTCAAAATTTTATTGATAAATTTCCATTTTTAACAAAAATTTCGTTATTCAGCAATACCATGAGAACAGTGTGATAAAACTACGAGTCTGTAGAACGAGTGGTTTCATCTGGTTGCTGGATCGGTATCGTTAAAAAATAATAAAGTTTTCATTTGAAAAAATGGACATTCATCTGGGAATATTTTCAGGTCGAGTGGTATTGGTAAGAGTATTGCCTGTGGGGTTATTTAGGTGTGAAGGTCTAGTAGGCAGTTCTTTAGTATGAAAATGTCTGTCTGTCTTTGGTATTGGTGAAGATTATTTGTTGAAATATCATCAACTTAGTGCTCAATTTTTTCACAGATTTATCGGTTTGAAAACAATACTCCAAAATTTTTTGTTTTATTGGCACCTCTCCATTCGAGGATACTATAATTTATTTTGAGATTTTATTGGCGAGCCATATAACATTTCTAAAGGAGTTATTTTCAGAAGTTTAAGAACTTAATTTGGGGAAAAGGAATCTTCATTTTTCAGTTGGATAAATAATTTGTGAAATCCATATAATATTTTGATCAATAATTATGCCTAAATGTTTTGTATATCTCACTTCTAGAATATTTTCATCTGCAATTTCCATTGGCCATAAATTTGCTTAAGTTTTATTATATGTAAATGCTAAATATATTTGGTTTTTTTTAAGTTTACTGACAGTGAATTATAAGCAAACCAATTTTTCATAAAATTTCACATATTTATTGTGATTTTTATTATGTTTATTCAAAAGCCTTTTGGATTTAAATATTATATTTTAGTATTATGACAAAATTATGACAAATTGGGTTTTTCTTAGTGTTTTTTACTGTAAAACCTTCCACAATCTGAAAAATAAACAAGGTATGCATTAAAAAATATAATTGTTCACAATTGAGGCGCCATTCACAAGTGAATTTTTTGGGTTTTGAAAATGGTAAAGAATTGTCTTCCATAAAGTTGACCATCTATAGAAAGGTGCTAAGTTTCGAAATTTCAATTTTTCAATTAATTATTTAATTTGTAAGCAAAATTCATAAATAGGACAAGTTACTGACTAATTGGACTCTTCAGTGGTAAGTTTTACGCAGTAACTTTTCAAGATGGTTTTTTCAGTTTGCCCTTTGTTACATACACCTCAGCAGATTCTCTATTAATTAAGCTTTGTTTACTTTTCAGATTGTAATTCAAAGAACAATACAAAATTTGACTCCTCTACAAAAAATTTGGTTTTCGTTCTTGTAGGAAATGGAAAAACAAGTCAAAAGTGGTCTTACCAAAGCAATAGGTTTATCAAACTTCAATGCCGAGCAGGTGCAAAGAATATATGATTCTGCAGAAATAAAACCAGCAGTATTACAAATAGAATTACATGCATATTTGCAACAGAAGGAAATGAGGGAAACGTGTAAAAAACTCAATATTGCTGTTACAGCTTACTCACCTTTGGGGAGCCCTGGAGCCAACACACATTTTAGCAACAAATACAATTACTCGTAAGTACTTAGTTTTATTCAGAGAGTTGCAACTTAGAGGGATTAATCATTTATGTATGCACTGAAAAATGTAATATCAAACAAGAAGAGAAGGTAATTTGTGATTTTTTCCTCCAAAATTAGTAGTTCTTAACATGGACATAAAAAAATGTACTCAGCAAACCAATATCTATGACACAGGTTGTGTTGAAGTCGCTAAATTCCGCACTTAATACAACTGTTTCGGCAACTTTGTATATTCTCATTACCGTTACATTAATCCGTCTTTTTTTGTCCGTCAGTAATCATTTGTGCGTCCTACTGTGTTGCCACTTTTACTTGGAAATAATAAGATATAGGGGGTATTTCATCCATAATATCCGAAAATGTCTAAAGTACTGGAGTAACTCTTGAGCACTAATTGCTTCTCAGTACTTTAGATAAGATATTAAGTTAACTCATTCTAGTTCATTTCAATAAATGTACTCATATCCTGGCAATAATGACAATATTGAGGTCTATGAAATGTTTGGGGGGTAATTTCATTGCAAGCACCTCTTAATCTGAACTTGAATTCTGGAATAGGTTGCAGCTGTGTATCATACACTTTATATTACTTGTATCTTCTGAAAAAAATCTTGGGGCGCCATATCAGGTGATCTAGTAGAAAGGTTCAAAGAGATAACGTCGGCATATCTATCGGTTTCTGCAATATAGGGCACCTCCTCATAATTGCTATTTCGAAAGTAGTTAAATGGCTATCCAAACCGATTTATAGACAGACGTACTCCTTCAGAAAGGCAGATTTTTTGTGAATATTTGTATAAATTAAAGTCATTACACATTCGCAATTCATTCCAGAATTCATATGAGATGCTTGTAACCAAATTACCCCAGAAATATTCCATACTGTAAGAACAATATTTATTAACATTCATATTGTCAGTGCGTGAATGATGAGAGGAACAAAAGTGAATTTTCAATAATTTTATATCAGGTTGTTTCAGAATTTTAGCCCCGAACTGTAATATCTCAGTGAATACTTATATTCGAAATAAGCGCCATTTGAATCAGTGCACTACTGCCAACGTAAAAGAGGTCATTTGATTCCGTCAGCAAAAAAATGTGTCCTTAGGATTCGATGAAATCCACGAAGGCCGCTTTTGCCTGGTCCTTATTGGCGAAGATTCTGCCGGTGAGAAAGTTATCCAAGTACTTGAAAAGATGGTGTTCGGTGGCTGAGGAAGAACTTTGACGCTCAATTCGCTATAGTGAATCACACCAGCCACTGATCACCATACAGTAACAATGGTCTTTTTTGGTGGGTTTTCGCCTTTGAAAAGTGCCTGGGTGGCTGATCGGTTTCCAATCACTGTCCTGAACGTAGTAGGGGATCCACTTTTCATCACACGTAAAAACAACAGACCTCGAAACGTGACAATTTCTATCGATCGTTCAAATCGTAGGACACTCACTTTTCGAGCTTGTTGACCTGTTCAATACGTTTTAAACCATCAAAAACCGCATGGGAGCTAACGCCCTGTTCTTACACCATCCCACGTACCGATTGTGACGGATCAGGAGGATAAATTTCCAGAACAAAATTTCGCAAAAGAATTTCGAAGAGTGTGTTCATTAACACTACAATTGCCAAATGCCTGGTTAATTTTTAGAGCTGTTGCGGTAGTACTTTGCTTCAATTTGAATTGGTAGAGAAAAACTGACCAAAAATCGCTCAACATTATATGACAATAAGCTGAAAAAGGCAAAAAAAATTAAATTTTGACAAAAATCAATAGAACCTTTGGTGTAGTAGTGAATATTACTGGAGTTTTTTCCTAACACCAAAGCTTTATTTTTAACACCTCGACACGATTACCAATACGATTACCATTTTTTAAAGAAAGATCTTCCTTTTGAAGACACGAAACACGTGTTGAGGTGTTAAAAATAACTGTTTGGTGTAGAATAAATGTTTATTGAGATTTGGAGCTATAAAAACACACGACATCAAAATGGAGAAAACTTTCGAAACAACCTAATATATGGAAACATGAAATATTTTATTTGCGTGACACCCAAAATAGTCAAATACTAAATGTATGACCTGAGCCACTTAATTGGTGCAGTAAGTTTTTTCAAAGATGGAAATTTGACTAGCGAAATGTAATCGGAATTGAAAGAAAATGAGATGAACCAGATGTAAAAAATATTCATCAAAATAACGATGAAAAACAGGTTATATCAGAACAAGATGAAGTTTATCCTCATTCAAGTTTTGCGTTCAAAATTCATTATAATCATTCCAACTAAAATGGCATGTGCTATGAATTGACCCTCACGATCACCATGTTTACTAAAATGGGATTATAACAGTGAAAAATGAAATTTATGCTACTGTATGATTTCCATCAACACATCATGAAAAAAAGGCATCAAATTACCTATGAATACTTCAATTTTTTTATTTTTGATATTAACAGTAGAATCTTTACTACCCTCGAAAAGTGAGAGGCCATAAATTTAAATAAATCTTCTTTGAATAACAAGAAGTAAGTAAAGTGAATTGTTACGAATATGTATAGTGAGCAGATTTGGCCCCGCCAATCGGCTAGTTCTTTGACAGAAGAAGTTGCTTTAGTCTTGATTTAAATATGTGTACATTTTCAGAATTTCTGATATTGTCTGGGAATGTATTAAAAAGTTTGCAGCCCTGAAACTCAAAACTTTTTTGGAAAAGAGCAGTGCGATGTTGACTAGGTAATAATAAGTGGGCATTCCGAGTAGAGTGATTATGATAGGCTCTGTAGGCAGCTAATGTGTTTCTATTTCGATAGATGTATGTGTTTTGAGAACGTACTGAAAGCAATGAAGAATCATTCCAGATGGGGTGATGAATGAAGCGAAGATTGATTGAGAACTAGTAAAAGTGGTTGCGTTAAGTCCAAAGTGAGTGGGTCTGTTCAACCTTCCACCGCAATCCGCGAGGATTTGTTGTGGCTCTCACCTATTCAAACTCGACCAAATCAGTCCAACTGATTAGCTTATAGGCTGGGTGAACTTGCAGGTGAAATCGCAAGAGTAAAAATGTGTCAAACTCTGAAAACCTGATTTGGTCCACAATGGGGCAAGCATAAAGTATATGCTCAGCTATTTCATCATTTTTATTCAGAGATGATACACACTCTCTTCTAACAGTGCTAGCTTATGCATGTGATGGTTCGGACGACAATGACCTGATAAGTTGGGCTATTAGACGTAAATTTGTTAATTTATTTTATCTATTATCAGTACTGATGTATTTAATTATGTCCTGTAATTGGGTGTTACCTGTTGGGCAATAAATTATATTATTATTATCATTATCAAAGTTGTTGATGGTTTTGTTTTTATTAGGTCTTGTTAGGTTTTGTATATCACTTTTTTATGTACGAATTCAATGCAATTATTTTTCAGATTAAACGATTTTCCCGACATTCTAGGCCATCCCACAGTCAAAAGATTGGCTGAAAAATATAACAAATCGCCAGGGCAAATTCTGCTTAAACATCTAGTGCAACAAAACATCATAGTGATACCAAAAAGTGGAAATCCTGAACGAATCAAAGCAAACATTGATCTGTTCACTTTCGACTTATCCCAAGAAGATTTAGAAACATTGAATAGCCTTGATAAGAATGAAGAAGGCAGAATATTCGACTTCTTATTTTTCAAAGGTGTAGAAAAACATCCTGAATATCCTTTCAAAAGAAGCAAAGCCTAAACCAATGGATAGAAACATGTTGATATCCCATTAAAATTTTATTTTTTTAGAGGTTTTCGTACATTATTTCAGTAGGATTTTCCAATCCAGGTCTATTTTGAAAGCAAACACCTATTACTTTATAAGTTGTTGACCAATTTTTTTCAGTAAATATGTTTGAATTAGATAAAATCTTATTTTTATTATCCTTTGAATATTACCTCACAATTTGTCGAGAATTGATAGAAGTTTGAGCGATCTTTGGAAAGGAAATGGCAATGACACCTCTGGAACCGACAGAAGACTCAATTCACGATCATCAAAGATAAACGTGGCTCCCCAAGGTGGTCCTTTGCAAAGCCAAGCTTCGAAATCAACCTCCAAACGAGATTCACCCGCAGTCTATCTTTGCAGCTAACTGCAAGATGACAAGTTGAAACCAGAGCCCAAAAACAAAGCATTCATGATCCATCACTATACAGAGCTGTTTCGACCCACCATTGGACTCATTCATCATAATGGTAGGCTGAAAGACAAATGCATTGTTCGACCCAACTATCCAAGTTTAATTAGAAAATGGCATATATATCATTGTCTAAAAATTAATAGTCTTTCAACCTCAAGGTTAAATAATTAAATGGCGATGTGGTTCATTCATAGATGGTACTGGCATAGTTAAAATCCAAGTAGGGGGGTAGTATGTATATATACAATAAACAGTGCTGTACACTCAATTGAAGAGTAGGTATTCAAATGATTTATTTAATTACTATTTTAAATTCCATCCCTGTTATAAACATTCTTGTTTCTTGGATTTAAAAGTGGTACCATACCATAGTTTTACTTGGTGTACCATCGTAAAGTGCAATGGTACACTGATTGTATTATAACTTCGCAAAAGTACATTTTTTTCATCAACTCCATTGACAATGGGTGCGTCTAAGACAAGCCCTGTGATGAATGCAGTGAAAAGCGCTTTTCAATTTGCTTTAATTTTATCCAACAGCTGGATTCTATATTTACCGCCTACCACACTCGGTGGTGAAACAGCTTTAACTGCTGGAAATTGTTGGATGCACTCAATGAGTGATAATTTGTGATCTTACTGATTTTCAATCTGTGATATTACTGAGTGTCGGGAGTGGCAGGCGGGAAAGTACGTGAAGTTAACCAATTCCGTTATGATTGATGATATCTGTTTTGCAATTTGGATTAAAAAAAATTGCATATTTTAAATAACGTGGACAAAAAAAATTATTGATAATTGTGTGAATTGTTTAGAATCGCATCTGATACATTTCCACAAGAGCAGTAATGTCCTCGGACCCAATTTCCTTAGATTTCTAATATCTTGTTAAGGGATTGGCCTACTGAGAGAAACCAACAAAACTAGAATCGAGAATTGGGATGAGAATCAATATTGAAATTGTCAAAAATTGCTCTTTTGAACTCCTTCGACATTGATTCATTTGCAGGTGACAAATGTTTTCGATGAACCATTTTTCATTTCTGGTTACCAGTAAAACAAGGGAGGTAAAACGCATTCTTTAGGTTGAAATGGAACATTCTAAGAAGAAAAGATTAGTGCAAAATCTATTGAAGTACAAAATTATCATTTTTATTGAAGTACAACAAATTAATGATTGTAAACAAAATAAAATATAATTTCACTTACAAATGGATCATTTTTAACTAATGCGATAAAGCATTTTTCTCTGCATTCTATGTTGTAACTGACCTCGTCTGATCATAGCTTGAATTACCTTCAAGACAGCTCTTTCAGGGTATTGTTGATGAGTGAAATCTTGAATTATAGTCTGCTGAGAAACCTGCATACCAATAGCGAATCTTCGTTTCAACTGCTTTTCAATACGTGTCAGCATCTCATGATCCTCTTCTGTTGTGAAGCCTTCAGCACCTGAACGGAAAATCATCTTGTAATGTTTTCATGTTTAACTATTATTCGAAAAAAAATTATATAAACCACTTCCTAGATTATACGAAAGTTGCCATTTGTAAAGTCATGTATTTTCTTTTCTTTTTTTCATTCAAGTAATTTGATTGATCCCAGAATACTCCTTCATTTGAATTTAAATCGTTATTTGCCGTGCAAACTGTGATTTCCTTTTCTCTCACTCTGACCCCAACTCAAAGGAAAGTTTCAACCCACAAGTAGTACCTACAACACTTTTAAGTTTTTTGCTCTGGATTCAATCCACTCTTTTTAACGCATTTTTTGCCCGCCTTGTCGGCACCCACAAAAGAATAAAAAATTGACTGGTTACAGGTGTAGTGATATCCTGTGAGAATCAATCAGCTCCTGGATTACATCACTAGGTAGGAAATCACAGAAAACCATCGCTAATTTCACTTTTCATCACCATAGATTCAGTGGCATCTCAGAAATTGATAATGTAATTAGTTGGGAGTGTTTGTTAGGATCACTTTATGTAGTTTTCCATATCCTATATTTGTGCCTTTCTGACTAAGCACCATGAACGATACAATGGAGAAGGCCATAGAGGTAGTACTTGTTTTAATATATATGTTTAGTGAGTGAGTTCATTGATGTACATAGAGCCATCCCAGAAAAATTCACACTGACCTTTCAGAAAATGTAGGAATTGACTACTTCATTTTCATTGGAAATGTCTCTAATTATTGAGGAAAGTATATAAAAGTGATTGAATAGAAGCAATAACGTTTTTTTTATTCAGTGCTGGATAAAACAAGTAACAACACAATTTCAAAATGCGCAAATTCACAACAATAGATGTTCAAACAATCTTCCATTTCGAGCTATGCATAAATGTACATACTTTTAAGCAGAATATTACAAGAAGCAATGGATATAATTGACATCAACAAAACTTTCGCAACACATAAATTTATATAAAAGATAAAAACGTGCCACAATCTGAGAAGAAGCTCTACTACTGAATGCTTTCAAAACATCAGGAGAAAGTGTGATGCAAAAATTTAGCAAGAGTGTAGTAAAACTTCTGTAAGAGTACATTTCATTGTCTAATCTAATATATAAAAATGGATGTTTGTTGGGTGGTTGGTTGGTTGGTAAGTGATAAACTAATCTTCCATTTCGAGCTATGCATAAATGTACATACTTTTAAGCAGAATATTACAAGAAGCAATGGATATAATTGACATCAACAAAACTTTCGCAACACATAAATTTATATAAAAGATAAAAACGTGCCACAATCTGAGAAGAAGCTCTACTACTGAATGCTTTCAAAACATCAGGAGGAAGTGTGATGCAAAAATTTAGCAAGAGTGTAGTAAAACTTCTGTAAGAGTACATTTCATTGTCTAATCTAATATATAAAAATGGATGTTTGTTGGGTGGTTGGTTGGTTGGTAAGTGATAAACTTCTACATCGTTCAACCAATCGTGATGAAACTTGACATGTATGAGTAATTTTTCATAAAGAAGATTTTTAGGCTATCAATTTTTCTGTAACTCGCCACTAGATGGCGCTGTAGAACAATTTTTTAAAGCACTGTTCTATAACGCTGCGCACGCCTAGGTTCGTTGATTCTGATTCTGTCAAAACATTGGAACAGCAGCGATACAGCAACATAGTACTAATTAGTACTACAACTACCAAATTCTACATGGGCGAAGCAGGGGGCAACAACTAGTCACTTATAAATCCTCAATGAGATATGCAACCTCCTGCTACCTCCTGTGCCTCCTCCGTAGCAATGTCCTGGAATCCAACTGGAAAGACGAGATGTGTGCTATCGTCAGCTAAGCAATATATTGGATTCTTAGTTATTTTCCAATAAGTCATTGATATACAATAAAAAGAGGGTTAGAGACAATATGGATCCCTGGGGAACAGCAGCGTTGATGGTGAAAGTATTCGAGAGATATCCATCGACGGTCACTTGCAGGTAACGTTCTTTCAGGAAGCTGAAGAGCCATACACAAAAATGATCCGACAAGCCATAGAATCGAAGTTTGGCCAGCAAACCCTCATGCCACACACGGTCAGAGGCCTTAGAAATATCAAGCGCAACAGCTCTCGATTCTTCATGTTTCGCGATTGCGTTTTTCCACATATGGGTGACATGCGATATAAGGACGCCTGTTGATCTTTGTTTCCAAAAGTCATAGTGATGATCGCTCAAGATGTTGAAGTCTTCCAAATATTTGAGGATATGGTGGTTTTCTTCCATGATTTTTAATATCACTAAAAGCAAAGCGACTGGTCTATAGTTATTTGGGAACAGGGTGAACACGAGCAATCTTTCAACAAGAAGGATAAACCCCTTTCTCGTAAGACAGGTTGAAAAGTCTGCAAAATACTGGTGTGAGTTTATTTGCGCACTTTTTAAGTACGATGATGGGTACTTCATAAAGACCAGAGGCCTTGTTGATTTTGAGCTGTTTCAAAATTCGCTTGACTAGAAGCTGTCGAAAAGCAATTTCCGGTATTGTGGATTCTAGTATGATATAAATTGATTTGAAATCACTGAAAGAATCTGTAGAAAATTGAAAAGATTAGCTGAAAAATTAAAAAAAATTATTAACAAGAAATAAAAATTAAAAATTTTTCATCATCAAAAGTAACCTTCAATGGAATGATTACTCCAAAGTGATGGTGGAACAGACTTTAGCTTGAAGACAGCAAGAGCCTCACAAGGAAGAGAAGCCGCCACAACCAGTACTTGTACTTCCCTACATCAGAGGATTGTCAGAAAGGATAAGAAGAATTGGGTTCAAGTATAACATCAGAACCTGCTTCAGATCTGGGAACACTATCCGTAGCAGCCTTACGAAAACCAGGCCACCAAACGCGGACTGCGATTCCAAGAATTGCATTTATCGGATACCCTGCGAGTGAGGAGAATCATACATCGGTGAAACTAAGAAGCCATTGAAAGTTCGCATTGCCGAGCACAAGAAGCACACACAGCGTGGAGAAACCAACAAATCCGGAATAGCAGAGCAAGTGGGCTCAAGCTGAAATCATTCACAAGAAGGAACCCTGGTTTTAGGAGAAAATTCAAAGAAGCCGCATATATGTTGTCCAACAACACATTTAGCCAAGCTAGCGTAGAGATACGTAACATATGGAAACCTACAATCAAGCGGAACACGACCAACTCCCGCCAAACGGTCAGCTCCCGCTAAAAACTGTCGAAGCGGAAAGAGGGAAGAGGGGATAGGTGAAAGCACTCGAATGACCTATATATAGTTAGATCTCGGAGGAATAAGTCCAGTTATCACCCTAAGACGATTGTGATACTAACAATCGAAACGTCGTTAAATCAATTTATATCATATTAGACAATGGAAGTCCGAACTAATGAAATGCACCACGATACATTGTCAATCACCTTCAAACAAATTATGTAAGAATAGTTTCTTCACCTCAATTTTAAAACATTTTTCCGACTCGATTTTCCTGATAGATGAAGGCAAGTTTATTGCATAAAATAGTGGGGAAAATCTTAAATTAGCCGTTTTATGCGGGGGAATTCTCAATAGGTTCCCATGGAGGGTATCTCTACAATGAATATTCGAATTTGTGACAAATAAATTGATATTTTTATGGGTAGAAGTGACATTCCAAGATAAATATAGAAGGTACATTCAAGAGGTCCTCTCTTAGGAAAATTGGTCTACAACTATTTTGAAAACCTATAATTAATATTAATCTCATTAGATTTTTAATGACTTTGAGAATTGGAAGTGAACTTAAAAAAAATCCATGTGTGTAGTCATTTTTACCTGCAAGACTTCCGCTCATAGCTGCGTCCAAAGTTGACACTTGAAAGAGCCTCAAAGCTTCATCAACATGCGTTTCTGTTGCGAACGGCTGCAACTGCATTTTGGCTAAACTCTCAGATATACGAATTATAGCTTCCAATTGACGAACTGTGATAGGAATAGAGCTTTTCTTATCAGACTTCATCTCGTGCTGGAAGGCTCCAGATCTCATCATAACATAGCGTCTTTTCAATTTTTCAGCAGCCTCTTCATTCAGTCTAGGTCCACAGCGCCTACAATTACAATATATCAGAACTCACTCACCCAAGAACAGTTTTACAAACTGCAAAATATCATTTCAGTTATAAGCAACTTCCGTTTATATCAAGTCTTTGCTATGATTTGAATTCAACCAGTGATTCAAATGAAGTCTTCAGTGAATTGATTTTAACTTTAAAATAAAGCATACATATGAGCTGCTCATTGAAAAACATTAGCAAATTAACAAAAAACTGTACACAAAATTCATTAATTTCTCTGAGAATTTCACTTGTGCTTGATGTTATCGAACTCTTTGGAAGTAATATTAAAATTACAGTTGGGACAATTAAATGATGCACATGTATGTTCAACGAACTGTGTGATGAAACGCAACAATTGAAAAAGGCAAAACAGTTGATGTTTGCAATCAATCAGAGAAAGAAAAGCTCTTCTTTGAATGTTACCTTGCACTCTGTACTTAAAAGAGAAGTAGCTGAACAAATGTGAGTTTTTGATAATTTCTTCGATTTTCAAACTGTTTTGACAGTTTACATGGTTTACGAGTTGTTTATTGAAAAGTTTCTTCGGTTTTAAGCCAATTGAACTACACAAATAATTTTATCACACTAATGAACTTCAGGCACTTCATATTCTACAGTAAGTAAACTTTAGAAAACTCAAACAATCCGCATATATTCTTTTAGCAGGTAACAAGTGCATTTCGATTAGTTCTGTGGAAGTGGATCGTAACTGGTTATCATTATTAAGAAGAGAGGTTGAAAACGAAAATATGAACCTTAACTGAACTGAATTCTCAAAAAACATACAGTGTGTGTGTTCATGGAAACTGTCTCATGTGACATCTGGACATTAAATTCTTTTGACATGATTGATTGATAATATGTTTATTGTTTAAGAATAGAATTCTTGTTAAAAACACAATGTCATAAATAAATATTAATATAAACATGAAGTATAATATGTGAAGTATAAATATATAAAATGTAAATGATTAAAATAAAATATAAACTATATATACATACTTATGCAAAGGTTACATGACAAGAACCAGGACAATGAATGAAAATATGTTTTTCACACACAGTACAATCGCAATTTGCACACATTCTATATTACAGGGCATCGTCAAAATATTCTTGTAGGTCATAATAGGCTTTATCACTTGATAGTTTTGTACATTTCTTTCTGAATATGATAAAAAGAGTCTCTTTGATTTTATTGGGAAGTTTATTGTATACCCTGATTCCATTATATATCAACGAGTTTTGAACCAAACATGTTTTTGGAATTGGTAGATTCAGATGTTTGATCGATACGGTTTCCTCTATAATTATTGAAATAACTGTAGGGATTCTATGTTCTCGAAAAAGGGGTTTACATGAATCCCCGCATTTTACTTTACATAAATAAGTACCTAATAGCCCTTTTCTGCAAGACAACAACCGACTGCATAAGTGGGTAACTGCAAACACCCCAAAAGGGTATACCCTTTTGCTTAGATAGATAAGAGCCTATTAAGCCATAGTACACTACTTTCGCTGCAGCAAAACCCAGTTATATTGAGTTCCCATGAATACGAAAAATTAAGGCATCTGATTTCAGAGACAACGTACGAAGTATACATCGAACTTTAGCCAAACAAAAAAACATTCTCACAAAAACAGAATGTATTCGACTCATTTCCCACTATAGTTAATCTCCACATTTTTATGGTTTACCAAAAATACAGAAACAAATTGTCCTCTAAGACACATTGTCAGTTCAATCGGTTCTCCTAGTCAGAAACTTGCAAAATATCTCCTCCAAATTTTGAAACCTTTGTCTGGAAATAGAAACAGTTACATAAAGAATACTTCTGATTTCATTGAGAAACTTGATGAATTACAAATTCGGAATGTAGATCTCCTGATGAGTTTCAATGTTGCGAGTTTGTTCACCAATGTTTCGGTTGATAAAACCCAAAGAATTATAAGAACTAAATTAGAAATAGATGTTAATTTCAAAAATATAACGAAACTGAATGTAGAAGCTATTTTGGAACTTCGAAAGTTATGTACCGATAAAACTTTTTTCCAGGTCAAGGAGGATTTTTATCAACAAGAATTTGGAATGGCAATGAGCTCATCCTTGTCACCGATTCTGAGTAACATTTTCATAGAGCATTTTATGGAAACATATATTGAGACTCACCAGAATGGTCCAAAGATACGATGGAGATATGTTGATGATGTGCTCGCTCTCTGGAATCATAACCTAGATGATATCAACGTTTTCTTGAAGTATTTGAACTCAAGAGAACGATAGAATTTACATTAGAAAGAGAAGTTCATAATCAACTTCCTTTTCTCAATGTTATGATGAAAAAATAGATTAATACTCTTGATACGAGTGTGTATTGAAAGAAAACTCATACCAATAGATATCTCCACTAGGAATCTAGCAACACACTAGCATCTAAAAAAGGTATAGTTAGATGTTTGTATGACAGAGCAAAGACAGGTTACAATTCAGTACATAATATGAAAGAGCAAATAACTATTATTTAAACAGTTTTGGAGCAAAATGCATATCCGGAGCAGTTTGTGAAAAGAGCTCTCTATTTTGGAACTTCGAAAGTTATGTACCGATAAAACTTTTTTCCAGGTCAAGGAGGATTTTTATCAACAAGAATTTGGAATGGCAATGAGCTCACCCTTGTCACCGATTCTGAGTAACATTTTCATTGAGCATTGTATGGAAACATATATTGAGACTCGCCAGAATGGTCCAAAGATACGATGGAGATATGTTGATGATGTGCTCGCTCTCTGGAATCATAACCTAGATGATATTAACGTTTTCTTGAAGTATTTGAACTCAAGAGAACGATAGAATTTACATTAGAAAGGGAAGTTCATAATCAACTTCCTTTTCTCAATGTTATGATAAAAAATTGATGAATTCTCTTGATACGAGTGTGTATTGAAAGAAAACTCATACCAACAGATATCTCCACTATAAATCTAATTACCACACTAGCATCTAAAAAAGGTATAGTTAGATGTTTGTATGACAGAGCAAAGACAGTTTACAATTCAGTACATAATATGAAAGAGCAAATAACTATTATTTAAACAGTTTTGGAGCAAAATGCATATCCGGAGCAGTTTGTGAAAAGAGCTCTCAATGAAGTTGGTAAAAGCAATATACAAAAAAAAGTCTGGTTTTCCGTTAACCAGCTGTCGCACCCCTACGAACGACAACCCTCAGAAGTCGAACTTTGTGCAAGCTAAGGACTAACGAGGTCTTACCTTTTAACGTGTTTACCCATAACATGGGTTGGACGATAACAAGTGAAAATCGATCGTTCAGCCAACACGGCGGTCGATTTGAGTGAGTGAACAAAGCACCCAGGTCGAACCGACCGGCTACCGACCGATGCAACATAATATACAGATCCGACAATCACCACAAATTCAATAATACACATACCTCACAATTAACATCATACTTTATGTTCCCAGTTTGTCTGAGAAATTGAGACGCATCGGTTATAAGAACAACTAAACCCGAAAATACGGTTGAAGGAACGAAATACTGTATTTACAATATAACTTGTTCCAATGGAAAAAGTTATATAGATGAAACCTCAAGACCCCTAAATGTAACTTGTGTCAAAAGAAATTTGAAATATCACAGTTTTCATAGTGAATAGGAAAAGCATTGTTCTCCGAAACGTTAACTGCTTTAGAAAGATAAGTATTCATATTAAATTTTATCAATTGTATTTTTTTTTCAATTCGTAGGCAAAATGTATGACATGTTACTGACTAATTCGACTTTCCAGTAGTTTATATTACACAGTAACTTCGGGGTGAACTTTCTCTATTAATTAATCTTTTATTTTTAATTTTAAGAGTGTGGAAGGTTATAAACCTCAAAAAAACAGTATAAAAAGTTTAATCTTTCTCTTGAAGATGATCACTTGGTGACTGAAACACCTATTGAGGTGTTGAAAATACGGTTTGGTGTTGGGATAGAACTCCAGTAATATTCATTACTACACTAAAGCTTCAAAAAAATGCATACATTTCTTCGTTGAGAACTATACAGGGTGTTTAAAATTCGTTCCTCACCATTGGGATCTTGGAAACTATGAGAGATACGATGATGGTTAAATTGGGGCAAAGTTGCGCATTTACCTGACTAACAATATGCCGTTGAGAATGTTCTGAAATTCCGAGTATATCCGGAAAAATCAGAAATTTCGGAAAATGGTTTTTATTTCTTTCTGGATTTATTTTTCGAAGTATTCGAAAATAAATTGCACTTCCACATTACCACTTTGTCCCTGCTTCATAATGGTGTTTTCAGATTTGCTATCCGACGTTTCGTCTTCCGGCCACCCTCATCAACTTTATTTTTTCTAATGGGCGCTATATTGGATTCTTTCTATTTTAAATAGAACCATATTTTACCTTTTTCGAAATCATGAAAAAATGTAGAAACAAACTGCTTGATTAGCAGGGCAATATATATGATGAGTTTGAAATATTTTAACATTGTTATTTATTTAATCTATACAAAAATATACTTTTTTGCAACTTACTTTCAGATGTGGTCAATACGTTCATTCAAATATAATGATTGATTTAAAATAATAAATGATAAGAGTAAATAAGTGAAAATAAAGAATAATTTCTCACGTTCGACAATAATGGATGAATTTTTTTATGAATTCCAGAGACAGTTCACCTTCCTTAGGTTCTTGAGTAGCTTGACCGGACATATGAACTCCCATGATGTGTTTGGCAAGTATCTGAAATTGAGAAAAATATGTTTCAGTATAATTAACTATTATCCTTTCATTTCTTTTTGAACATGCTGTTCTCAAATACTTATTTATTTGCAAGGATAATAGGATAAGATACAAATTTAATTTGTATTATTTATTGGAAAATGATAATAAATAAGAAAACCTGCAACACTCTAAGGAAGGATTCTAATTATATCATGAAATTAATAAATCCATAGAATTGCATATTTAGGATCTTTTGCAAGACTTTTTTACTATTCAAAATATTAGACTAATAAATGTTACAATAAACTCGACTTACCCTATCTCTTTGTTCGTCATGTTCATCTTTAACAATGAAAATCATATCAAAACGAGATAATATAGTAGGCAAGAAATCAATATTTTCTTCTCCCTAAAAAGTATTATAGCCATTATTACATATTGTCTACATTATAATTTTATTAAATAGTAGCAATTATAATAACAATGATAATCATATCCAAACGAGATTATATGGCGGGCAAGACATTAATATGTGGATCTCTGTGAAAATAATTTTTGAATAAACATTCTTTTTTTTATTAATTCTTTTCAATATTTTCTAAACAAAATCATCTAAACAAAAACATCTCCTAGCAACACCTAGCATACTCTATTTGAAGGAAATTGTAGGGCACTACATTACACCCTCCTTAAAAAAACTATTAAACACGAAAATGAACTCTTCTTCCAAAGCGGGTTACATAATTTGATTTTTCTGGATTTTCATTTTGATTTTCTGATTTCTTTTTGAGAATTCCATTTGGTGTATTTGTAAATTTTGCATTTTCAAGTAAATTTTCATTTGATAATTCTATAAAAGCTGGCTTCAACCTATGAGTCGAAATATTCTTTCTTTTTCCATTCACTGAAAGTGTAAAATATTTTTCGGTTCTTTATAAAACCTTGTAGGGACCAGAATATGGAGTTTGCAATGGTTTTTTAACACAATCTGTTCTTAGAGAAACATTCTTTATGTTTTTATGTTTTATGTTTATGTTTTTTCTCTCCATGATGACTGGACTGCTCGTTGATTTGTATGTTTCTCATAGTTTCTTGTAAAGTTTTCAAAAATTCTATATGCGATAATTTCTTTTCTTTTCCATTGGTTATCACAAAATCTCCTGGAACACGTAGTGTAGAACCATACAATATTTCAGCACTACTTAAACCATTTAAATCCTCTTTTGGAGGTAAGGTGTAGTATGTATATGTTGAAAACCCATGATCTTTGAAAACTCCTTGAAAAGTGAACTTTCAAATTGTCTTGCTTGATCTGTTGTTACTCTGGAAGGAATACCAAAACGAGTGATCCAACCTTCATAAAATGCTTTGGCGACTGTTTCTGCTGATATGTCTTGAATTGGAAAAGCTTCAACCCAACTTGAATATCTATCAATACAGGTGAGGCAGTAAGAGAATCCATTAAATTAGGGTAGTGGTCCAGCTAAATCAATATTTACATGTTCAAATCTGGCGTCAGGTATTGCAAAATAGCCGGTTGGGCTCACAATATGTTTGGTTACCTTAGATTTCTGACATGATATGCAACACTGAACCCATTTTTTAATTTGTTTGTTCATATTTTGCCAAACAAATTTATTCTTCATCAGTCTCAGCGAGGCTTTGATACCTGGATGTGACAAATTGTGAATTTTATCAAATATCTCTCTTCTGAAAGGTTCAGGAACATATGGTCTGATATTATTGGTTGAAATATCACAAATTATGTTGAAACTAGTACCAGGAATTTCCATTTTCTTCAACACTAATGAGGTATTTCCTTCTAGCAAATCTTGTAGTTGGGCATCATTTCTTTTTCCCATATTCCATAATCGATTATGTTTTCTAAATTAATAGTAGAAATCCTTGATAACTCATCAGCTACTACGTTTTGACTGATAAAACAACGATCTTTTTCTGTGGAAGTTGAAGGCGTAGTAACTGCTGGATTAAGTATAGGTGTAGACTCTTTACTCATTTGTTGAATAAGTTTTTCTATGCCTTCCATTCTCCTATTATTTTCGAGATTTTCGATCAGCTTATTACAAAGAAGCTCTAGCTTGTTCACCTTTTCAATAACACTACCTTCTGCTTGAGATTCCTTAGATTTCTCCCGATTACTGATTTTGCAAAGAAGTTTTGTGAAATCAAAGTCTTGGGAATTTATCATTCCAGGATACTCTTTAAGAATTTCAGCCTCCAGCATTATTTCCATGTCAGGAACAGTTCCACCAGGATTGACATTGAAATATTCAAGTATATTCAAGTATATTCAATATAACTGCTCTTGCGAAAGGTTTTGAAGTAACTTGACCATGGTTTTATCAAATGCGTAATAACTATTCACTTCTTGGGGTCACCAATTGTAGTTTTTAAACTACTTTTGAAAAAACGTTTTTGATTGAAGTGTTTATTAATTTTTTTCTAAATTTTCTAAACAAAATCATCTAAAGAAAAACATCTCCTAGCAACACCTAGCATACTCCATTTGAAGGAAATTGTAGGGCACTACATCTTCAAAGGGAGCTATTTGAGAATTGGTCTGATTTTTAACAAAAACAAAACATATATTAATGATTAACATAAATGATTACAACAAATAGTTCTTTAATACTATTTTAAAGTTTTCTGTGTTGGAAATTTGGTAATTCATTATAATCAATTTGTAAAATACAGATTTTCAACAAATGCAGATTTAAGATTTTTTTGTTAACAGATTATTGAACTGTCTTGTTTGATAATCATGTTCTATCAATTTTATAAATTTCATAGCGGAATGTTTTTTATTCTTTATAACAGACAGCAGAAAGGTGCATAGTTTTAATTTATGAATAGAATTGATATCAAGTAAAGCTTTGGTTTATATAGATTTCTAGTTGGTTCCAAGAAACTCCCTGATGGTTTCAAAGTTGTATTTGAAGCAGTTTCCCATATACTAAAATACTGTAATTTTGAATAAATTATTGACAAGTAAATTAGCTTCAGATGCTTCAAAGAAATATAGTTTCTTATTTCATATAGAATCCCAATTATCATATCTAATTTTTTTCTAATTTCATTGATTTGAATATTTCACGAAAGAGTTTCATCTACATGTAAACCTAAAAACTGAACACTAGTAGACCTTTCAAATTTGTTGTGTCCTAACACTAATTTGGAAGTTGGTGTCATACATTATTATAAAGTCTCTACATTACAATTTGATTGAACAATATTTTGTATAGAACAACTTTTTCCATGCTCTCTGATGAGTATTTCCATGTCAAATTAGTTGAACAACCATATAAATTACACACTTAGATCTAACCAACCAACAGTAGTTTGAGTTGCTCTAATTATTTTTTAGTATGCTTTTTGAAAGGCTTTTTGGGAAAGAAAGGTTTTGGCTTTCTACTTCTCCATCTTTATTCATAAAATGTGAGAATAGAGAGTTCACCTTCTTCAGGTAAAAACAGAATGCTTTGTATGTTATAATTTACTTTGTGATAAAATATACTAGTGGGCTGTCATGCACATTTCTATAAATGAATGAGTAAATGCTTTTTCAAGAGGGATTTAATATAATTTGATTGTTATCATCTGAAAAACATAGATACTCATTATATCCAATCGGTAGGTCGGTAGCCGGGCGGTTCGACGTGGGTACTTTTTTCACTCTCTCAATCAACCGTTGTTTGAGTCGGTGGTTCAAGCCGCAGGCTGAACGATCGATTTTCATTTGCTCTCGTCCAACCCGTGTTAGGAATCACAAGTTAAAAGGTAAAACCTCATTAGTCCTTAGCTTGCACAACTTTCGACTTCTGAAGGTTGTCATTGTAGGGGTGCGATAGCTGGTTAATGGAAAACATTTTAAACATATTTATTTTTTAGTGATACAAGTTTCTTGATTCACTTCATTAGTGTTTCTAGATAAAAAATTGATAGTGTATCATGTTTTAGTTTTTTTTTTTGGCAAAGAACACAACACACCTTACAACCCTTCGTTCTAGTACTACAAAAGGAAAAAGATTGTTGTACTACATCATCCCAAAATAGTATTCTGTAATGGAGATGGGAATCAATTAATGCATAGTATACCATTTTACTGGAACCTTTTATCATGAATACATCGAGAAATGTTAAGTTTTGAGAATAACGTATATTAATAATAAAATAATAATAATAATAATAATAAAATTCAATAAGTAACTGAGAGTAGAAGCAAAATCAATAATTTGACGGAATTGGCTGATACTTGATGAAAGTCCATAATTTATTCAAGAATTACTTTATTGGGAGATTTTTACTACACAGTTTATGAAACCACAACACGTGTTTTGCTATACAATAGCTTCCTCAAGCGCTTAAGGAAGGGTTTTCATGAATACCTATTCCACTTGTCTATTAATTTACTTTCATGTTCTCAACAAAAATGTGTTTATTCTAGACCAGCAAAATACACATACCTTAGTTTCATCCCACCTTCCAAAAATACTGTTAGCAGCAGCAAGAACAGAACACCTAGAATTCAAAGTTGTTGTGATACCAGCTTTGGCAATAGAAATAGTTTGTTGTTCCATAGCTTCATGAATGGCCACCCTGTCATCTTCCCTCATTTTGTCAAATTCATCTATACAAACAACACCTCCATCTGCCAGTACCATAGCACCACCTTCCATTACAAAGTTACGCTAAAAACAAAAATATTTCACATGAAATGTTAATGCTGTTTTAAAATATTTTCTTCACCATCTGAATATCCCGAACAAACAAAATGAATTCCAACTAGTCATAAGCTCTATCTGCAGTTGATTCAGTAGGATGTACCACTGTGCCACCTGCAAACAAAGTCCAGAAACAACTCCACAAACACATACTCGGGAGTGGAAGTCAGAATCATATGATGCATATGATATGCTCAAGTAAAGGTGAAACCACCTCACCCTTGTCTCTCATGTGAACCTACGACTTTATAGACACGTGTGGCAGATACCCGATGCAAAAACAACTAACAATTGAAACGTTCTGCTGTAAATTGGTTTGAAATCATCAATAATGTTTTAATTCATTTTTTAATTTTTTGCCCATTTTTATTATGTTTTTATTTATTTTTGCTGTACTCATTCTCATTTTATATCTTATTTTATTCGTTTTTTTGGATTTTTATTTCACGTTTTATTGCCTAATATAGTTGATATTTTAGCTTTTCATTCTGATTTTGTTTTCTTTCATAGATTTCGAATCATAGTAGATTCATATTAGACAATGGGAGTTCGAACTAATGAAATGAACCTGCAAATTCCTGAATTTTATTTTTCATGAAAACCATACATAAAATGAAAAAAACAAGAGATCAGATTTGCTAATGACATCGCTTTTCTGTTTGAAATGAAGTTGTGTAAATCTCGCAAGGACACTAATGGCAAAGACAATGAGTATGTTGTATAATAAAAATTACTTTTCGATATATATTAGGTGCGTACTACGTTTCAATAAAATATCTAGGGGCACACCAAAGTTATCATGAGAAAAACATTTTTTTTATAACTTGAGAACTGTGTAACTTAAAAGTTGAGACAGTCCGTAAATATATGTATAAATATATTGTAATGAATCTGAAGCCGCCCTGACTAGTACGCAGGCCGAATCATGGAACAAACACATGACATCACCGCGAAAGAATGCAGTCGGGAATCGCCGGTAAAATTCTAGGACCGAACCGACTACAGAATTCTAGAATGGGCCATTAGCGATAAAAGTACGTCTTCCCGATCCAAGAGGGCAGTTCAGAAAGTGAATCGAGTGCTAAACAAGAAATTCAAATAGTCTACTCGAAGAAAGGATAGGAACCATCGAGACAGAGATAGACAAAACCAGGAAGGAAATGAACACGGCATTAGAGAAAATAAAAGGCGGAGTTGAGGCAGAAATCAGCATGATGAAGGAAACAATTAGCAAGTTGCAAAACAAAATCGTTGATTCTGCCCACACCGCCGAAACTGTTACCGAAAAATCTATTCCGGAACTGAGTTTCAACATGGAAGAACTTCAAAAGGCAATGAAAAATGTCAAAGTCAGTTCTGAACCAGAAAAGCTCTCTATGAAGCCGCCCCAGTTCGACGGAAAAACTCCTCCGACAATTCGAAGCTGCGGCAAGAGCGAATGAATGGAATGCAGGAGAAAAGGCGGTAGCATTAACACTGGCGTTGTGTGGAGAAGCAACGAATATATTGCAAACCCTCACGGCCCAAGAACAGGAAGACTATGATCAATTTATAAAGCATCTTGAGCTACGGTGTGGACAGGCCCACCTAGAACAAATTCACCATTCACAGCTGAAGAACTGCTGTCAGAAATCAGGAGAATCTCTACAAGAATTTGGAGCCGACATTGCTCGATTGGTTCGTCTGGCATATCCTGCTACACCGGAAGGATTTCGCGACCAAGAAATGGGGCAGGCCTTGACACTAGCTCATCCGAAACATCTCGTGGATGCACTGGCAAGCGTTCTGGAGTTTAAGGCTGCAAAACAATCCTGCAAGAACCAGAACAAAGTTCGAACTATCGAGGAAGATGGACAGTTGCCTGCTGATATTGAGGCCACCTTTAGAAAGGTAATAAAAGAAGTGTTGCTTGAGAGAAAACAAATAAGATGCTGGAACTGTGGGAAAATTGGGCATGTGCGTAGCAAATGTCCAAGAAATCAAAGAACCAACACCAGATCAGGAAAACTAGAGAGGGTTGATGAGAAGGGGCAATCGTCAGCCTGTATCCAGGTCCATGAGATCAAGGCGAATGCTGGAGGATTCGAAACCGGTGATCTAGTTTGGCTGTACATCCCTAAGCTATGCTGTGGTTTATCACCGAAGTTGTGGAACTCGTGGGAAGGTCCTTACAAAATCATGAAGAAGATAAATGACCTCGTCTACTGAATCCATAAGCGACCTCGAGGAAAGCCTAGGGTCGTCCATTTTAATAGATTGGCTTCTTATGCTGGAAATCACGACCAAGTTCGCGCCCTCAGACTACCAGAGGATGGAATGACGTACGCAGAAGTTCATGTCTTTATACTCGAACGTACAGAAGGTTGTACATGGGGTAACTCAAGAAGAGCCACGAGACCTTTTCAAAGTTCCAGTGGTTCCAAGGTTCCACTGCGTGGCAGAGGATATCCAAATGTCCAGAGGTATCGCTGTAGTTATTCAACAAGAAATTCGGTCAGCTCCAAACATTACGAGAACAGAATCCAGGAGTCGGAGGAGTACTACAGTTGAAGAAGGGTCAGAAAAACATTTTCTACTTGGTGACCAAAAAGCATTCTTGAGACAAACCGTCCTATGAAGATGTCTGGAGGGGTCTTACCAGAGTGAGGGACACGATGCTCAACCAACATCTTGTGGACTTGGCAATCCCGAAATTAGCCTCTGGGCTTGATAGGCTGGATTGGAGAATTGTGAGAAGCATGTTGGGAACGATATTCAGATCCAGTGGCATCAATATTTTGGTGGGCGGTAACCATTTTCCACGACCGATCATGAAGACTGTGGAGTGTTACTTCCATCGAACTTCACAGTGCAGATATGGGGAGTCCTGCAGGTATCGACACATGCCGAGGATGACATTTTGGGGGGAAACGTCTTTAAGAAGGGGGCAATGTAACGAATCTGAAACCGCCCCTGACTAGTACGCCGGCCGAATCATGGAACAAACACATGACATCACCGCGAAAGATTGTAGTCGGCAATCGCCGGTAAAATTCTAGGACCGAACCTACCGACCGAACCTAGGACCGACTACATAATTCTAGAAAGGACCGTTACCGATATAAGCACGTCTTCCCGACCCAAGAGGGCAGTTCAGAAAGTGAATCAAACAGCTAAACAAGAAATTCAAATAGTGGAAATAAATTAAGCGTTATTTGCTAAGTGATGTAATAAATAAATTAGTTTGTGACTACTGAAATATTGTTGGAAATAAATTTGTTTAAGACAGTTAATTCATTAATTTGTTACAATATGAATTCATATTATCATGCATACTACATTAATAAAAGTATGTGTATATGTGCATATATGTGAGGGAAAGACTCTCACTCTCATTGATGACATAATTAACGAATAAACTTACCGATGATGGATCTCTTATAACTGAGGCAGTTAAACCGGCAGCAGAACTACCTTTCCCTGAAGTATAAACAGCAATAGGGGCTACTCTCTCAACAAACTTCAACAGCTGTGACTTTGCAGTACCAGGATCTCCTAAGAGCAGTAAGTTAATGTCACCTCTTCGTGTTAAACCATCAGGAAGCCTCTTGCGCGAGCCACCAAAAAGTAGACAGGCTATTGCCTTTTTTATATCAATAGAACCATAAATTGAAGGAGCTATGCTATTAGCAATTTTCTGGTACACATTTGGTGAAGCAGCTAATCTTCTGAAAGTACTTTCTTCCTCTGAGGAAACAATTGAACAACCTAAAGCTCCCAAAGCTTCAGTGTCAAGAGTAATGCCTACAACTCGCATATAGGCTGCTCGGACACCTGTTATGGCCTTTTCTCTTCCTTCATTCTGAAAATCCACGATGATTAAAAGAATGTATTTAAAAAATTAGTCAATTGTCATAAAACACATTTTGTGAAAGCAAAAATTATCTAGGTTTTCCATGATGATCAAGTACCAACTTGAAATATTATCATAGATTGTTGAAGGAAATGCATGTGTTGATCTTGATGATGATTTTGAATTATTGACGAATTTCTGATTTCTGTATTCATTTCTCTTACGGGTTAGTCCACACTAATAACATTTTAATTTGAACCATTTTTTTTGGACTCGATTGCTTTCTTTGATTTGAAAAAATATCATGATTGGTTAGATGGTACAGTGAATGCAGTTGAAGACTGAATAAATTTGGACTTTCTTCTTGGATTCCTCATCTAATAATCTATTCTTAATGAAGTTCAAATCCAGTTTATCTGTAGTTAAAGTTTATAATAAGGCTGTTTACATTTTTTTTTTTTCAGTATAATTAATAATGTTGATATATCATATTGAGTACATATTTGTAACGTCACGATTGTCCTAATGAACCAGAACGTTTTAGTTGATCTTAGTCCTACTTTGAAGCTGTTCCAACTCCATATTAGACGTTTTCAAACACTGGGTAGGTGTTTTTCGAATATGAATAGCTATAACTACTACTACATAATCCTTTGCCATGGCGACTAACAAATGGCATGCTACATCTGTTTCAAAAGTTTCTCTAGTAGATCGCATCTCATGGATCACAATTTTTGAATCAATATAAACATAACATAAAATGTTTTGTCAAGTTTGATGAAGAAGTATTTTATTTCATAGTTGATAGACTTTTTCTTATTAAAAGTTTACTGGCTATGCCTTTCCTTTCGATGGTGTATGAAAGAACTTTTCAGATATCGAAAGCAGTTTTCTTCTTCTCTAAATGACTGTCTGCTATTCTTTGTATAACTTGAGATTTGGATTTCTCATCTTTCTTCTGGAGACTAGCAAGTTTCTTTTCTTCTTCAATTTGAGTAACTTTTACGCTAACAACAACCATTCTCTTGTAAGATTGCTTTATGAAACTGATGAAATCAAGTTCTTTTAAAAGAATTTCCATACGGAACTTCGGTTGCTGTAATCTTTCCCATTGAACAGTGAAAGTTTATACTTTACTTCTTCTGAGATGCTTATACTTATTACTTCCAACATTTATCAATATGCTGAGTAAACTGGGCCTATAACCAGACTTACTATTGGAAAAAAATGTTATTCTATCAATTTATTTGTTTGGTCCAACTCACAAATTGTCAAATCTGAACTGCTTCAGGAACGCTCTTCACAAATATCTGGAGGAAAACGTATTTTATTCTTTGGATGAATTTTTTATGTAAGTGTATGTTCATTATTATATTATTCTATATTATCGCTATCAATAAAGTACTGTTATTTTATTGTTCTTTGTACATTTGTTTCTTTTATTTATGAACAGGTAGTACTTCTTTTTAATATATACATATTTTGTATTTGTATTGTTGTAGCTTGTAGGTCCTGTTATGACTTGTCCAATAAATTTATATGATGTCTTTTATAGATTTGTATGGACTTCAGTGATGAATAAATTTGATTTAATTTGAATATGTAGAAACTTCAAAATAAACATTGTTAAAGACAAATTCAAACTTTATTCAAATGACAAATACAAAATTAACAACTGACTACTGAAATTAATGGACAACAACTTAGAAATTGATAAATACAGTGAATTGATAACTTGACAGTTCAATCTCGTTCATAGAATATTAGGTTGCAAAGCAACCAGTTTTCCAGCCAGTTTCAATAGGTTTGCTGCTTGGTTTGACCTGTTTTTGTAGTGCAAATCATTGGTATTTTCTAAGTTTCTTCATGAAACATTTGTCTTGCTATGAACATTCTGGATGCTGTGCAATCAATCTACGTTATCTGATATATATTTTATTCCTTAGTTGTAAAGAAATGCTCAATTGAATATTCTCTTAACAATCTCCCGATTCTGGTTTCAATAGATCATCTGCCTCATGTATGAGGTTCCTATAAATTTTTTTTAGAGGTAATGAAATTGTGCTTTTAGTTCCTTTTTTGTATAATCATTCATGTTTATTTTCTTTATCACTTTTGAGACTGTTCAGGGTAGAACAAATAACAGCTTGATATGATAATTCAAGATTGAAAATCTTGATACATCTTTGATATTTGTACAAACATAGTGAACAAAATTTTAGAAATCCGAGTCGCTATATTTACATGTATAACAAGATTAAGGCACTCTAAAAGTTTATTTTAATTGTAATTACAGTAATTTTTCATTTGCAAAATTAATATCGATAATTAATTCTAGGAGGTAACTAAGATAATAAGTGTTCCAGTCTTTCCATGAAAAGATTGAAATCCCTTGTGGGGGTCTGTAAATACACAACATATAAGTATTGAAAGGTTTAGAAAATATTAGAATTTGAAATATTTTTCTATAGCTAAAATGTCAAATTTATTGACATTTCCAATGGAAAATGAGTTCTAAGCAATGAGTTCTTCCTACAGTATTCAGATGCTCAAAGATATCCAGTTATATATAATGGCTCATTAATACCTATTCCCAAGTTGAAAAAATTATCACTGGTAATTGTTGCTGTTCTAGATAGAATCCGTCTATCTGTTCAAAATCTGTGAATAATTGATAAGGTCATTGCTATTGTGGCCTGTTTCAAAGAATGTGACTGTTCAAATTCCTAGTGCTATTAGAGCAAATCGCCTTATTTAAGTGAGTATAAAGTATTTGTCCATGGTTTTCTGTGTCCCCTCCTTTTTATTGAGGGTGCTGGCAACACAAGATCATATTCAAATTAAACCCCCAAAGCAATTAGTTTTTTTAATAATATAGTTGTGATCTGTAAAGTTACTTTTTACAAATGTTACTGAATGAAAATTAAACAGTTCTAGCAATGCAAGAGTATTTTTCAGTAATTCACTCACCCTGGTTGATTTAGTAATTTTTTTTATTGAAAAGATTCCTAGCACAAACACTCTATTACCAGGAACAACTCTTTCGCATAAGTATCTATCACAATATAGAGTAATATGTCTTGGAATTTCACCCTGGGGAATACCGTCAGGAAGTTCTTGTAGTTTCAACACTTGAAAGTCAACACAATGACATTTATCAGGCATAATGAAATAAGGATCTTGTGGGCACTGAGGTCTACCTGCTTGGTCCCTGAAAAAATACATTTTAGAATGTTCACAGTTGATATTTATTTTACTGACGTATTGCATTTTCTTGGTAAAATGTAACCTTCTAACCCAGGTTTAACAGGTAGATTTGGAATGACATTACTGCAAGCGCGACACTGTATTGAGATTTTAGTAGCCTTTGCCCTAATACCTGAGGCACTAACAACAATTCCTGGAATTTTTACCAGACGAGAAACAACGTCAGACTGAAAACACGTAAATTAGATAAGGGGACTTATCATTATTTTCTGGATAATTAACCTTCAAAGTTCTCAAATCTGATGGAAGTGCATCTGATGATAAATTTAACTGAATATCTTCAACTTGCTCTTCTCCTTCTGGTCTAGGGGAAGTGAGTTCATCAGCAACCTCTTTTGCTGCTTCTTCAAATATTGGTAAATGTTCAGAAGGTTGCTTATACAATTTATCTGCCAAGTTTTCGTCAAAGCTTCCCACATCTTCAATATTGACGTCTAGGAAATATTGACCCAGGTTGTAATTTCTCCTTAAGGTGTCTCTAAAATGATTATAGAAAAAACTATGCACTTATATTTTCAATAATGAAATGTACCTATATTTGTAGTTGAAATTATCAGTATGATACTGTCGGAGAAACTCTTTGAATTTCTTTTTTACTGCTATTAAATTAACCTGTACATCACTTTGATTTTCATCCACAGAAAAGTTATCACTAAAAAATATCCCTGGATCATCAAATCCTTCCATTGCTGTATTGCAAATCTTCGAAAATGATAAATGATAAACTATTAAACAAACACCTGCAAACACTAACGAAAAAATTACCAGTTTCCAACTGGCAAAAATATATTCTGGCGGGAAACCAACCCAATGTTGACAACAATTAGGAATAAAATATTTCAATGCAAAAACTGACAACTTTTGATAAAATAACTGTAATGTCAGCAATCTTATTTTTTAGCATTTTTCATGCATTTCAGAAGAAAACACTTGATGTGTCAAGTAGCTACCTGATGACGAAACAGTCACGGTTGCAGATTAAACCATAAATATGAATCCCTAGGTGGATTGAATTATTGTTATCCAAATCTCTTAAAAATGACCAAACAAATGTGGTTATAATAATGTCTAATAGCGAATTTATGCAACAATATCTAAGAACTTAACCCAATAACTAGTAACTAAGATTATATCTAAGAAAAGTGTCCTTTTTACGCACATGTTAACATAAACACAATTATTCTTCATTTGCTGTTTTACTATAATACTGAAAATATTTTCATATAAAAACAATGTTCAACACCCATTTATTAATTTTTTTCGTTTATAGTAAGTAAGCTGTGATAATAGCTCCCACCTCTTAGTTATTAGGTGAATGATGAACACATTTCCAAGCAAGTTTCCATAAACCCTTTCGTTGATTTGTTATGATCAAACTCTTAGAAAGTTTGATGGATAAACCCGCTATTAGAGGTTTCGAGAATTGTGTTTGGCAGTTTATGAATATTATGAGTTATTCATTTTCAACTTCAATTCATATTACATATTAGAGCAACAAACATTTTCTAGAATTATGATACACTATAAAATCATTCCAATTCAATTGATAACAAAATTGTTCAGTCACTGAAGACTTTCTAGTCCTATATTCCAAATACTGTGATGTTCGCTTTACCGTAATCCATAATCGTTGCGCTTTACCAACTGCAAGGGGAAATATAGCCACAGATTACTTTCCTGTGATATGAATCTACTTACTGGACAATATGAAATAAAAAATTGAAGTAAACAATATTTTGTATAAAAATATTACATATTTTTATTGAAATATAGATCATTAGCATTCATTCCATTCCAATTAATTTCAATCAGACAAGAGATACTGATAGAACTAATATCAAATATCTCAATACAACCACGGGGTGGTAAAATAATGTTCTATTGTCATGAAACTGTATTGTCTATTACAATTGATGACGAAAAAATGAATTCTGTATTAAATTTTGTGTAGTAAATAAATGGGTCTGAATTCGGCAAAGATTCATTTACACTCAAGTCACAGATTATAAAATTATGTTCTTATTCATTCAAAATTTTGCGATATTATCAAGATATATAGACTTAAAATGTATATTCTCGCATTTAACAGCTTCTAGTGGTTGATGCAGCTTCATCGCTGAATATGATATAGTTGCTGAATCCAGCCACCGGGAAAAATTGATGCGCTTGTTTCTCCGCCGAATGGTTACGCTGTATAATCTGACATTTGATAGTTTTAATGTCGCCTATATAAACCCCTTTGCAATTTAATTTTTGAAAACAACTAAAGATAATAATTAAATCACAATGGAAGGAAAAAATATTGCTTCCCAAAAAAGGGATTGAATATGTTTCATTAATTCTTCAAAATATGAAAGCATTCGGACATATAATATACCGCCTAAGTCTAATTATTTCAAAAGCGGGTTCGCCGTCCAGACGGTTCGAAATAGTTACACAGCTGATTTTTGAGAGTAGACTCGCGCAAAACTTACCAAGTATCAACTGTGCGACCGCTTTTACTGTTCGAGGACCGTTATATAAAAAGGTAAGAAGGGTTTTTGTTTCATTTTGGATGAGAAATACACCCGATTTTGAAGTACGTCTATGCAGTATAGAGTTCGACAACCTCTGCTTTTCGGTTTCAGAAATTTATATCTTCAGATTCAGACTCTTACCTAATCAGAAAGATCACCCTATATTGTGAAATCGGTCCTAAAGTGGTTATTTTTGGAATATATAGACAAATTCTCAAATTCAGCAGAAACATTTTAATGAATTGTTTGAAAAAATATAAACGTGCTAACGTTTTGAATGCATCAATAGAAAATCCATCAAATCAATCGGTGACCTCATCGGTTCTTTAAGAACTCGTCACAGAAAGTAGTATTCTGTGAACTAGTCTAAGCCGAAGGACGTCAAATGTCAAGTCAACGTCATAAAATTCCGAAATTGTTACGTTTTGTCTTTTGTATAGGTATTGATTTTATCTTTATCGATTTATATAAAGTATCTGATCACCTTTATTAATTAAAATAAGATATAATAAAGGTGTACTGGACATATTCAAATTTGAGAAAAGTTTTCTCCAAGACTCCTAACTTCAATAAGTCAAATGGAAAAAGCTCCTCAAGAAATAGTGGAGCAGGATTTACAAGAGGAAGGTCAATTCGTAGTTGACGATGTTAGCAAAATAATCAAGGATGCAATTGAAACAGTCATTGGGGGCAATGGATATCAGCAAAATAAAGTCAACAACTGGACTACCTCAGTTGTTGAGGCGTGTACCTCTGAACTCACAAAGCTCATGAAACCTTATAAATATATTGTAACATGCACCATAATGCAAAAGAATGGAGCTGGATTACACACAGCAAGTTCCTGTTATTGGGATAATAATACAGATGGTAGCTGTACAGTTCGTTGGGAGAATAAAACTATGTTTTGCATTGTATCTGTTTATGGACTTGCTATATAATCAGTTATTTTTAGGTAGTTCCATTGCCTTATTACAATATAATTGATATGTTTATCACTATAAAACTAAGTTAAATTATTCTAGTAATTATTGATATAGTTTGATATATTTGTACTATTGATTTTCTCCATTGCATATCTGCTTTTAAGTTGATTTTATAAGTGCCACTAGATTCATATCTGTATGTTCTGTAGTAAATGTGCTTTTATTAAGTACTTAATCAACTGATTAGCACTGTATCAGAAAGCTTAATTTGGGTATTATGTGAATATGCTGTTTTCTCTCTTCTGAATCCAATAAAACAATTGACATTACTTCAGGTGTATTATACTGCAAATATTGAAGTACATAACCCAGATCCAAAACCATTGCTAGGAGTTTTGGAAGGGAGTAAATGATAAACAACATCTTTTTTAAGATGGTTTCTTTACTACTGTTTGAACCAAAAGCTCATGTGTTGAAGCCCTTGCGATTGTATATGCTTGCCATCTCTGATCACTAAAATTTTATGTGGACCTGTACATTCTAGCAGAACACCCACAAAAAGAAATTGCATAGTACCCTATCCTCACACTCCATGGAGACAAATATTAAAATAATTCTTTCAAGATTAACCTCACCTACCAATATGATTACTTGCAGAGTAAAAGTCATTGTTTTCTATAAGAAAAGTAATTCATTGATGAAAGTTGACAAAAAAAATGTTTCATGGCAATGATGATTGCGAGAAAAGAAGTGATAGAATAAGTTTTCACTAAAATTCCTGGAAGACAGTTTGTCGAGACAAGAGGCTAGTGGATGTTCAACGAGGGCTATGGGTTTTCTATATTTAGTTTCTTAGTCTCTCATGTGTTCTGAAACTCGTGTTTTAAGATACCGTCCGGTTTGACCAATACAGCAGTTGTGACCACTTACACAGTTCAATTTATATACTATATTGGATTGTATGTCTTATGGTGTTTTTTTTTGAGAAAAACGCTTTCCAATTTGCATTTTCATTTGAAAAGGCCACTTGTTCGGTATTGAGTAGCATTCCAAGTTCTTCAAATGAATTTTCTACAAATACAAATGAAATTTTGTGATATTTGGGTTTCACTCTTGTATTCTATTCTAATAAGGGCTCTATTAAAATTATTTTCAACTTGGTAATTCTCAATTAATTGGTAATTTTTGTTATGGAATTCAGAATTGGAAATGACAATTGCTCTTGATTTAAATTTTTTTGTAATGTGAAAGTTATGTTTTAAAAAATAATTTAAAAAGAAACTAATATTTCAGTTTGCTTATTTTTTGGAATGGAAGTGAAAATATCGTCAAAATATCTTTTAAAAAAAGGCAATGAAAATGAAAACTTTTTTATGCATATATTTTGTAGTTCTGCCATGACCAAGTCTGCACAAATGGGTGACATACAATTACCCATTTCCAACCCGAATTTTTTTTTTTTAAAGATCAATTCTGACTAAAATGATTGAAGTCTATACAGAATTCAAAAACTTTTATGAAAAGGTCTATGGCTAAAGTGGTAAATTTTGAAATTATATTCCATTTTTATTTACCTATACTAATCAAGAGATCTATAGAAATATTAGTAAAAAGAGATACCACGTCAAGAGAAATTAAGATATAATTTTCGAGTATAATTTTATTTCTGAGAAAATTTCAAAGAATCCTTCAATAATCCATTTTGAAAGCCTATAGACGGAAGAAACTACAAAACTAATGATAAGTCCTCAAAAGTATTCCGTCCTTATGTATTTTTGGTAAAATTGTTCTATTTTTACTTTTATTTTATTTCACTGTTATTACATTTCAGGTTTTTTTTCTTCAAAATGTTATTTTCACCTATTATTTTTTTATTCTTCTTCTTTATTAATTCTTTCAGGGATTTCAAATCATTTTAAATTATATCAGACAATGGAAGTCCGAACTAGTGTAGCCTATGTTATTCTGATGTACCTATGTAAAGTTGTATTTAGATGTATTTATGAAAAGTTTCATCTAAATCCGTTCAGTCGTTTAGGCGTGAAAGAACCACGAATATACATCCATCCTTACAAACTTTCACATTTATATTAGTATAGATAGATTTTCAACTATTTGATCAGATGGTCAATATCAGGGTTTTCCCGAAATACCAAATATGTCACTAGAAATCAGGGAATCTACCATAGATGATGATACTCCAGATATTTTAGATACACCGTGACTTTTCTAAGTCACAATCGACAGTTTGTTGAGAGACCATCAGAAATGTCGAAGAAGAAGTGTAAATATAATCAGAATAAAGGCTTATTGAAAGCATCAAAACTGACGGTATTTTCACAAATTATTTCTTTTGATTGAGCGCTATTTTTCGTTTCAAAATTGATATAATCAACAGCTATTCATATCTGAAGTAAATCGGCATTTTTGCACAGAGGCCATCGCTCTAAGATCGACTCAAGGAGATCATTGCAGGGTTTTGTGCAACTCCGTTAAAGCACAGGTCAGTCAACTCTGTGATTAAATATTTAGTTTAATTCAAACGAGAAAAGTTTCAAAATCTGTTTTACCACGTATACAGAAATGTGAAGAAAAGAATAAAAAAAGTGACAGAATCCAACAACTGTTTGTATAGGTCAGCAAAAATTCTTACAGATCGAGTCAGCCAGTCTGCTTACTCTCTAAAATTTTTGAAGTTCACTCAGTTTTCCAATCAATCGTGAATATTCGAAACTGACAAGTTCGTTTCCTTCCATGGCTTTTGATCGACCTATTTTTCAACCGCCAGTGTAGAACAGAAAGTAGGCTTTCTCTAATTCAGAATCAATACCTACATATTTTATTTTGCTTTGCGGTGGGGTCTGGTTAATAAATATTTGGTATAGTGACCTTATTCGCCCCGAAATTATCAATAGAGATATCCTAGGATAATGAATTATTGTAGAAACAAAACTATGGATGATGTAAAACTATCTATAAATGTTGGCAGATACATATCTTCGATATATTTACTATATAGCAACTAGTACCCATGAATACATTTTTTTTTCAAATCTTAATACTCCTTCAAGAATGCATTCTAACAACTTGTGAAGATCAACATTGTGAAGTTCAACTAACTATAAATATGCATAGTTTTGTCAAATTTTGTTCTATAGTATTCTATACAGTTGAATTTTTTAAATGACTAAACTGAACGGTTCTTTTTTAAGGTAATGAACGAGACGGAGTGAACTTTCGACTCTATATTCACGTCAAAGACCCTATTCACTCACGAATGTGACTGGTGTAGAATATTTAAATTTGATATTTCATCTCTAGTACCTAGTCCCAACCTAAGTATATGCATTTTAACCGAACTGTAAGGCTTTACATTTTCCATTTATCAGAAATTTGAATTTATTTCGTATACCTATCACTAGAGAGTTGAGGTGAATTTTCCTGGAGAGACTGTGTTTTTTTAATTTTGGAGTAAATCCTGCCTGTAAAACTTTCTACCGACCTACAAAGTTTGTGTCCCATTTGAAAAAAAATTGTGATTTGTCCTTGGAGTGAAAATGTGTGTTTTTCACATTCTGAAACTATCAGTCTAGTTAAGATTTATTTCTGGTAAACCTGCAAAATCAATCACTATAGATAGGTTATAGGTACCTACACCGGAAACCTACATATTTTTTTCATTGCAAAGTAGTAGGTAAGTTTTGTGTTGAAATTTAGAAAACAAATTCAAAAATTAGTTTTGAGATAATTGAGTACCGATTTTGACGGGCGATAATCCTTGGATGATTTTAAGAAAAATCTCCATATGAATGAGTGTCCGCAACCTGTTAATTTTTGGGATACAGGATGCTGAAATTTAATGAAAAAATCATTTCTTCCCTAATATCTGGAAAACTTAATTTTGGTATATGCAAAATACGTTAGTATAAAAATACATTTTTTCCATGGTAGAGATTTTCCTAATGTTCATAAGTGACGTCACTGTTAACATGTCCTGTCAGTGAATTTTATTTAAATGGAAACTGTTTTTGAGGTAGAAAATGAAAAGCATACATTTGCTTGTCCCTGTTCGGTTTTTCCTCTTATTCTTTTTTTCAAAATTATACTTTTTATACCATTCAAACCTTATATTTAGTTTTTTTAATGAGTACTTGTATGCATAAAAATACATTTTATATTTTTGAAAACAATATGAATTTCTATAAAATAAGTAGGTCATCAATCGAATAAGTTCGATCCAGCTGACCATGACTCTGTTCTCCCACGACCCATTTAGCGATTATGAAAATATTGGTGGAAATATTTGCGTGCCAGAGCACTAAAACTACCAGATGCATCATCGGACACAAACCACATGCGAGTTCGCAAAAAAATAGATATATTTTCTAACAGAATTGGCAAATTATCTTCAAGAAATCGGCGATAAGTATGTCCTTTCAATCTGCGTGGTGAAAAAAGTCCAATTAGGTAATCTCCAATAATTGTTGCCCATCAGACATTCAATGAGAACTGCTCCTATCGATGAGATTTCACAATTGCATGAGGATTTTTCTCGACCCAAAAATGATTCTTATGAAAATTTCTGATCCTGTTTTTAGTAAAACTAGCTTCGTCCGTGAATGAGATTTCCCAGTCAAATAAAGGATTTTCGGCAACTTTTTGGAGAAGCAACCATTGACAGAAATTCACTCATATGGAAAATTCTCGAGGAAGTAATGCCTGAGCCCGTGTAATGTGATAGGTATATAATAAATAGTTAATGCAAAATCCCTCATACTAGAATATGGGTGATATTCAAATCATTGGCAACCCGCCTCGTACTTATTTCAGGATTTGGTCAACTGAATTTAAACAGCTACTTCAATTGCTGGGGTTCTTGCATTCCGATATTTTCCTCTCAAGTGCTGATTTGGCTCCAAAAGTGCTGTTTTGCTGTCAACATTGTTTATGGTGACAACAATGAAATTAGCACTGTAGATGTGTCTAATCCACAAATTGATCTTGTTACACTTCAACGGAATTCGCATATAAAGATAAGCAAATGAAGCATTTTTTCTAGCTTAAAAAACGTTCGCCAGACAAAAAAAACAGCAGAACATATTTATGAGAAGATAAAGGGTATATATAAAAATAATTTGGAAAATGGACAGTTGCGTATCATGAGTATGATAAAAAATATGGCAATACATGTTAACAGGGACGCCACTGATGAACATCAAGAAAAAGTCAACTATGAAAAAGTAAAGCGGTTGTGGATCTATGTTATTCATATGAAGAATAAATCATCGGAGGATTATCGCCCTTCAGGATCAACATTTAATTATGGAACAACCAGAGTTTCAAGTCCATCAATTAGGAGGGTAAGTGTCGTTATTTTGGCAACTTCTAAATTATCACCTTTCTCTTGAAAACTTTACGTGACTACAGAAATGTAGTTTTCAACAATAAGTACATAAGTATCTATACTAATATAAATTCGAAGTTTGTGAGGATGTGTGTATGTATGTATGTGTGTGGCTCTTTCATGCCAAAACCACTGAACGGATTTAGATGAAATTTTACAGCTTATACATCAGAATACATTTTACAGGCTACATTTTACAAATGTTTTGTGTGATTTTGGTCACAATATAACGATGAGTATTGAGTAATTCGGAAAAATTCTTGTTCCCTGAGAGCTATCTTGGCGTGCGCTGCCTATACCGTTGGAGTTACATCCAAATAATGTATCGTAAGATTGTTAATCTTGAATAGGTCTAAATAAAAGTCCGCGATAGCATATATCTACCTCTTATGAGGTAGTCCTTATATGCAAAATACTGAGCCATAAATTCAATTGAATTGGATACTTATTTTACAATGCACGTTTTAGAATATCTGTCAAATTCTTATAAAAATTGATAGGTACCATTTTTGTTTTAAGTATTTGATTTAGATAAACTTAGTCTCTTACACTAAGTAATTTGGACGAATCGTTTAAAAGTTATCACGAGAAGATTAACTTGACGCAACATAGTAAGCCATTACGCGTCGCGTCTACTTTAAAACGATGAGAGACGATGCGCGGGGGTAGAAGGGCGGTCTAAGCAATGAAGCGCCATCGACCTGAACGCGGGCAGACGTCGTTGACGGTTGTGTTAGTTTTGCGAATTTCTGTATAGGTAACATAATTCGATTCTAAAAGCTATTCATTACTTGGTACAGTTGGCATATTTTTTCAGTTACTGTATTTTTGAAGCAAAAATATAAATTACTAGCTGTTGCCCGCTCTTATATTAACGTACAGCCGAAGCTACTGAACCTAGGTAGGTTCTTTGTATAGCGTAAATAAGCATCAAGGAAAGGGAATCAGGAGTTTCCACCATCAAGGAGAAAAAATAGAGGATCAAAGATTGTATTGAATTCCGTCAGTCTTGAAGTTGGAAATCTGAAGTTTTGGGTCATTATAAAAATATTGTAACTATTTTTTCAAAATGGTCTGTCACGAAACTTAATGTGACAAACCAAATTCTACGCGGGCCAAGCCGCTGGCAACAACTAGACCACTATAAATATTGATGATTTGGATTCTTTGGACATTTGTTCAAAAATATACTATTGGCTTATGCTAATAGACATATGCTTGTGAATACCAAGTTCACGTTCACGGCTATGTTTAGTAGCGGTTTGCCAAAATATAAATAATCATCAGGATCATAATATTGATTAAATTTTTCATTTTCGAAAGCAAAAGAATAGAATATATTTTCATATGGTCGGTCGGTAGCCGGGCGGTTCGACGTGGGTACTTTGTTCACTCATCAGTCAATCGGCCGATGTGTGAGACAATGGTTTAAGTCCCAGGCTGAACGCTCGATTTTCACTTGTTATAGTCCAACCCGTGTTAGGAATCACACGTTAAATTTGAGACCTCGTTAGTCCTTAGCTTGCACAAGTTTCGACTTCTGAGGGTTGTCGTTCGTAGGGGTGCGATAGCTGGTTAACGGAAAAAACATATTTTAAACATATTTCAAACATACATATTGAAGGAAATGGACATACCTAGGTGAATGCAGTGAATTTTTGCATGAAAGAGATATTATATCATTGGGAATCTTCTATGAACAATGATTAATCTTCTCCGGCACTTTATGAGACCCTAGTGATATTTAATACAAACTAATAGTCATCTCAATTAATTCTTTGAAATTTTGAACACATACCTACAAGAATGTGTAAACTTTTTCCACGGCACTGGTAAAAAGGGTCATCTATGTCACAGGTGGTACATAACATCGGGAACGAATGAAAGTTTGTGTGCCTTTAGTTTCTGTTGCCGCCGCTAGTTCAGGTTCCAGTTTTCCACCTGTCATCTTAAAAGTGTCACTGTTGTCAGTCGAGTCGATCATTAATCATTGATTATAGTGGCGCAGAGTGCAGGTTTTTAGTGACGCCTAGACGACTTGAGAATGCATTGAATTAATTTTCATTCCGCATTGTGCAGATTATTTATTTCGTAAAACGGAAGAGATTTTCATTCCCTACCAACCTTCATTTTCGCAAAGGGCTGGCTCGCCTTGGGATTGATAATTTGTAAGTTCATCGATAGGTATATCAAAGATCCTGTGACTGAAAACAATTGAATGGTGCTATTAAGTTTGACACAATTTTCCGAAAGTGATATTTGGTGATATGTTCAATACACAAAAATACATTTAATCTTTCAAGCTGGACCTGGAATTTGAAAAGTTAATGAGAGTATCTGAGGGCTTACCCTGTAGTTAATTTGGTTCCCTAGATATATATTCTAAATTTCATCTATCAGCGTAAAAACTTGGTAGGTAAATTATAAGTGCAGGAATCATTTGGAATAAAAAATTGTGAGAGATATGAGTCGAGGACAAGCAGGACCCCGTATTCAAGTTCCAGACGATCTGCGTGAGGTCCTTCTCGAATTCACTATTAGTTATTTATTGGAACAACCTGGGGATGTTATAGCGTATGCAGCAGACTACTTCACAAGACTTCGAGAGGCTAGGACAACATCACTAATTTATGATGGATCTAGAGGTCCGGAAGAACCACTTTCACCAGATGAATCTACCATATCTAGGGAAGAAGGTGAGTAACGCTTTCATGTTTGATTAATCTTTCTTTGATAGACAGAAGCATTATTGAACTTTCTCTTGTCAACATTTTATTATACAAGATACCAAAAAATTATACCACATCAATTTGAGGCGGACATTGCTTTAAACAATTTGCATGAAACTATTCTGTGTCCTATTTTTGAAAATTGACGGTTAGATAGTGAAACTAAATAACAATTATTGGTACATCCATTATTTTCTCCTTGTGCTATGGCCTCTGAATATCATAATATAGTAATTTTTGATTACCTACACCCCAGCTCATTCTAACAATGAATCTGTTGGTAAATATTCATGTTTTATTAGATGAAGAGGACAAATAAATTTGGGAAACAATGAAAATATATTCTAGAAATTTAGAACTTATGTACTTTACATCTTGCTTCACATGCAAGTAATTTTTGATAGAATGATTAATGAAAAGTAGAACTGGTCCAGCACTTTTGTTGCCTTGGTTATGACTGCAAATGTCCACTTAAAAAAACCAGTCAATCTATCTGAAAGAAGTACTTTTCCCAAACACCAGAACTGCAACAATAGTCTTCTCGATACACGTTTCACCAACACAGTTGGCATCTTCAGGACATTAAGTATACTGATTCCTAACTCTAAAACTAGTGTCTATTTCTATCTAAATTTCAGACACACATTAATGATTCTGGGAATCAACGAATCCTATACCATTTATGTATTTAAAACGAGGATCAGTAAACATTCAGTCATTATAAATCTACTCGCTATAATTTTCCAGAATGTTTTTCAACATACTCAATCCCGTTCTCACGAGTTTATATACTTTACATTATTTTATTTTCAGTATTCCTATTTTTTATATATTACTGTTAGTCTAGAAACATGTTTGTATTACTATTTTATATTAGGACATGTCCTACTAAATAAATAAATAAAGTTGTTCTTCTGAGTAGAATTTTGGTAACGCACACTATTTTCGTTTGCAATATCACATTCAAAAAGGAAAAGAAGAATCTATAAGTAACTATTACCAGTCGTTTAACTACCAGTGTTATCGAAAATCTAGGAGAATGCTATAATTCCACACATTCTTGAATATCTGAAATATTTCATGTTTTGAACTATCATGAGTATGGTTTGCCTAAGCAAAGTTTGACGTATTACTTTTTTAATATGTTACCTAAAGTGAAGGCTTTCAATTGGGTTCTGGAAAATTTTTCATTTTTTTTCTATTGGGTTGTGCTGGCTTAATTAACATTGAGCTAGCGAAGCAAATATTTGGAAATACATAGTGTGTCAAATTATATTGAAATTATTCTTGAATGATTGAATAAAAAAATTGAAATTTAAGTCCTCTTGATAGCTAACAAGAGTGAGTAATGTGAGTAAGTAATAGAGAAAATTGTAAACCACCACAACTTTGAATATTTGAAAGGCTTTAACATCTTGAGCAATCAAAAATATGGTTTTCAGAAACAAAGATCAACAGGCGACCTTCTATCGTATGTCACCCATATTTTGAATAACCAATATCTATATTTTAACCATAAACAATAAACCATATTTATTTAGATTTAGGATTAGTTGCAGTCAATGACTTGTCAAAATACTGTGTCATGTAATATTGACAAATAAAGTACATAGATAGATAGATCTTTATTTGTTACAGTTACATATAATGTACATAAATAAACTGCGAGGAGTGTGGAACATGTCAGTAATGAATAACAACTAAATAACAAATCAAAGCTTTACATACATAATCATTATTATCACACAAGTAGTTTTAAGACAAAAAAAAATATAAAATCCTGCAAGCTATAATAAGGTTTTTCTACGAGGTAGTTCTTCAAACGACATTTCATTATTGAAATTGGAAGATTTCTTAGAACAAGTGGAAATTTATTGTAAATGTTTATAACGCTATATTTGACATTTCTCTGTATGTATGTATAGTTGTTTTTCTCGTTTCTAAGATCATTTTTTGTTCTGGTGTTATATATGTGATCCTTATAGATATAGGTGATACATTTTTTTGTAGTATGAGTATCCTAGAGATATTAACAGAGTTTCCCTAGAATATAATTCCATATTTTTTCCTAGATTGAATATAAGCATGGTATGTAGAGAAGGCAGCTTCGGTTGAGACATGTTCCGACAGTATTCTTGATGCATAGCAATATTTTGCAATATTTTTTGATAAGTAGTCTATGTGATTTTTCCAGTCCAGTCTCCTATCTATCACCAGTGCCAAAAATTTTACANACTCCAGTAAAAATCTGAAAGATGATTTTCTTTCACAAAAATAGTATGTAGAACTTGTGAATCATTACAAAAAATGAGAACCGATCCTATGAATCTGGTAGAAACCACAAATATTTTTTGTTGTCAAATACAGGAATTTCAAAACAAAAAAATTAAACTGTTACTACTTAGCTGTTACTACGTAGTAGGAGATCATCATGAAAAATGAGAAATAAAACTTTCTATGGATTTTTACCACTTTTATTTATAACTAGTGCTGTAACTGCAGTTTCGTTCTATAAGGACATTTTCGAAGAATTACAATAAAAGGGTCCTATAAGGACATTATCAAACATTTACAATAAACTGGTTTATTGTAATTATTTGAAAATAGCCATATTGGACGAAACTACAGTAACAACATTAGTTACAAGTAAAAGTGGTAAAAAACATAAAAAGTTTTATTTCTCATTTTCGTAATACTTTTTAGGAGAGATTAGTTTTTTGATAGTGTTCCATGTAAGTGATTTTCGTATAATTCAATGTCCATAGGAAAGTAGTTGTGCGAAAGTACTTTTTGTTTCATGTTATTCAAAGCTCATGGGAAAGTAGTTGTTTCAAGAGGACTTTTTTCTTTCAGTTTTAATCTAAAAGTAACAGCTAAAAACGATTTACATTTACATGATTTTGACGATTGGGGAATTAGTTTTGAAGAACATAATTAACGTAAATACACTTGTATTCTGGATACATGCCAGTTGTTGAAATTAAAATCTTACTTTCTGAAAAATATGACATATGTACTGTCAGAAACATATCCAAGCTATTCGTTAATTCAAATTGAGATAGTGATCTTTCCAAGAGTTGCTGTGCCAAACTAATTCGTAGTTATACACTAATCGTCTGTAAATACTCTCAGCGTATGTGTTGGTTTGCATGATTCAATTCTAAGTGCTGATATTTTTTTAGTAACAAAATGCCAAAAATGTTTCTTGGTGAGTATCGTTTTTTAACTGCTTGTTCTAATAACGTGATTAACTAGATTGGAATGTGAGGAGGTATATATGGCATTTTATTTCTCCTAAATTAGGTAAGTTAACGAATCCGATGGCAGGTCAATGACAATGAAATTTATATAATTTTCAATTATATTACGAGTTTTTTTGATTGATTAGTGATGTTATGTCTCTTCATTTCTAAATTGTTTTAGAATATATACTTTTATATACTTTTATGTTGCGATGGGCTTGCTGACACTGGTAATATTGTTCTCGTTGAAACTGGTGTACTCACCCAAGAACAACCTATTCACTGACCCTGTAGGTACGATCAAGCTGGACTCTTGAATTCTTCATCTGTTCATTCAATTCCATGTTCATGCCTTTTGCAACCTGTTTGTGTACATTTCATTTCAAACTTTCTTGATGTTGACCTGAAGATTTACTCATTTCTTCTCTGTGCCTCATGTTGTGAAAGGTTTATTAGCAACTTGGTGTTTTCCTCTTTCTTTTTTTTTATAATGCTGTTAAAATTTCTAAATAATTCTCTGTATTCACCAATACGTTTAGTCTAGTCTAATCTGGCATTATGTTCGATGCTAAACATGTGTCATGCTGAGTTACTTTTAAAAAAATGTTTTCAGACTCCTTATTGTCAGTCGATTGATACCAAAATGCATATACTATCAAACCACAGATCATCAAATATAAGTAGTATATACTCTACCAGTGGGCCTAGAAATGCATTATGCATGAATATAACGTTTTGTTTCTTTTTTATTTGCAGCAATACGTTTACCGAGACTTGCAAGTTTTGCCTAAATTGGGTTGTGAATTGTGCCGAAGAATTTTGTCAAACCTTCTTTAAAATTATGGATGTTCACTTTATTATATTGTACATGGATAAATAAATGTTTACCACAGTAACATGTCTTTTTTTAATATTTGCAAATTGGCGTGAAATGTAGAAAGCATATTAAATTCAATAATTTTTTAAGTTACTGTCTATCATAAATTCTTTTTCAAAGTTTCATTATCAAATCCATATTTTCCGGATATCTGTTTTCTGGATCTATATTTTCTTTAGCTCAATTGATAAACATTTAGGCTTTACTAGCAAATCTCTGATCTCTGAATAAGTATTTGCCTAACAAAACCTTTGAAGGAAAAGATATCAAATCAAAAAAGGTGATGATAACTACTTAATGCACTTTAAATTTGACAATGAATGAACTTGAAAAAAATGGAAATGAAAATATTGGTTTAAAAAACAAAAAGCGAGGTAAAAAAGGATGGAATAGAAGTTTATCTAGCCATTCTGGAAATTGATAGAGGGAAATATATTTCTAACAGTTTTGATTATCATTCAGACATGGGCAAAAAAAAAGATTTACAGGGTGATTCAAAAGTACTTTGACAAACTTCAGGAGGTGATTCCTCACAATATTCTAATATGAATTGTCCAAATAAATAAATGTCTGGAAACGCTTCGTTTCCAAGATACAGGATGTTGAAGTTTTATTTTTATTTTCGTTTTTTTCAAATAACTTTTGAAATACTGAACTTAATTAAACG